CCAAACTGGAAACTACTTGGAAATTGTTACAGAATTTTAGTTTCCTGTTTTGTTCAGATAACCTTCAAAAGAACTTTGGCCCCAAAGTTCCCCTGTTATAGTTGTTAGAAATACTTAATTGTGAAGTTCAGCTATACAGTAGTATATAAAGATCACATTGTCTTCCACTATAATTATAACAAAATGAAATGTGGCTAAAATGACACTAGCAGGATAAAGAGGTGACTCCTTCACCAGGTCTGCCTTTCCTGTTAGATATGGGAGACTTACAGCCAGCACTGTGTGTAATCTAATTAATGCAATAATGTCAGCTTTGTATAGGGTAATATCAGATAAAGCTAACAATTTGTAATAGTAATTTACATTGATTCACAACTCTGAGTACTGATGGACCATTCAGTGATTCCCAATCCTTCATTATACATTTACTCTCTTTCTATAAATGCATGATTTGAGGTAACTTGAGCTGCTTTATTGTATCATAAGAATTTTGAGTATTTGACTGTTCTATTATATATAGTATTCAGTGACATATACAATGTGAGAAACTAGTTTTTATGAAAAAATTCAGAGAAAGAAAAAAATTGATACTGTCAGAGTGTATAATAAATTCTTCGTGGCTTACATTCTTTCCAGGAAATTGTTTGACACTGAGGTATCAAACTTGCATAGAAATATCAAGGTATAGCAATGTGTGGAGAACATCTCAACACTTTAGGAAATTAAATGTACATGTTCACTTTCAACCTGAATTTCCATGGTGCACATCCTTGATACTATCAAAGCTATACATGTAATTAAGGATGAATCCAATATGACATACTCTAGTAAAAGAAAATATGTCATGGAGTGTGACGGTGTTAATGTAAATATATAAATTGATGTTTGTGACATCACACAACACATTATTAGCCCACAGGGGGGACTCGTGCACTTACAGCTTGCACTCTGCCAGAAACGTGCATAAAAACCACTCCAGTACTAACTGATTAGGGAACATCTCAAAATAATTATTACCAAATAATGGAAAAAGATCCTGATGATGTGTATTTACTATTTAAAAAAAAATTGTTTTTGTTGAAATGTCATGTGCTGTTTTTAATAATTGTTGACATATCACTTCACTTCACAAACTCAAGATTTTAAATACACAAAAATTCAAATGACAGATATTGGATCAACATTTTGTGAGGTCATGATATGACATCATTTCCTTTTGCATACCTTCAGAATACCAGACAAATAATGATTTTTTGTGCTGTGTTTGATTTTATCAATACTTTTTAATACATGTTAAACATGAAATAGTTGAAATTTTACAACAGTAAATTTGTGTTGAATCTTGTAATTGTAAAGACAATTAAAGTTTGTCCTATTACGTTTGGAAATGAATCATATATGGTTTAACATTACTCCCGAAAAGAGAGCTGACATTTTGTTAATTATGCAGGTGTAATTAATGATTTATATTAAATTCATAATAGAATGGCCCATTTTTAAGGAATTGAAATTTTTAGTCTATGTTGATTTATTATGACAGTGCATTGTGTATTGGGATCTATTATGGCAGATTTCTCTGCTAAGGCCTGTCTGTCGATGGTTGGGAATTTTTCAATCCATGTATGCACTGACAATTATTGTTTTTGAATACTAATTAGATCCGTCATTTTTCATATGATGAGTCTCGGAATTTATTTACATAATTTGAAATATAAAGTATAGTACATGTACTAGCTGTTGAATTGTTTGGATGACTATGGTCAGGTGGTAGATATTTTTTTGTACTTTGTTAAATGGGAACATCAGTAATCAGCATTCTAGACTTATAATTTCTAGACTTAAATACTGCTGTGGTCCTTCTCTCTATAATAAAGTATCACAGAGAGAAATTTAAGATGAAGTCTTCAGAAATACAGTAATGGCATATCTATAGAACAGGTCAAAAAAAGAAACAAACATCTTAAGGATACACCAAAGGTTTCCAAAGGGCAAAATTTAATTTGCTTGTAATTCTTTCATTAATAAAGATAACATATTAAAAGTATATATCATTTGAAAGCTTCTTAAATTTACTATTTAATGATCTTAATTTAAATTTTCATTTTTATCTTATTTAAAAGTTATTAATATTTTAATGTAAATATTAGTGCATTCATATTTTATAAATCAACTTTTTTGCATTCCATCTCTCAAAGTCAAAATTTTGCCTCAATGTAGATTAAAGATTGAACTTTAAAACTGTATCTCATATTTTTGATAAATCTTCTTATTCAAAAGTTACATCCATTTGTCTTTCAATGTTACCAATTTATTAGCCCAATTCTACATTTCCCCCAATAATTCGAGAACTGAACAAGATATCAAAAATCTGAGATACGGTTTTGTGAACAAACATTTGAGACACAATCTAGCCAGTTTTCAGAGAAATTGGTCAATAAATAAGGGAGCTGAATCCTTTGAAATAATACCACCAACTGTCTGATCTTACTTTACAGTAGAGGGCAAAAACCCATTACACAACAGAGTCTGCCAAAGCTAGAAATATATGACACCTTGGAGATTCATCTTTGGATACCTGTCACTTATCCATATTTCCTATGCATATTCACAAGAATGGGAGGTTCTATTCTTTATTTAGGTGCTTTTAATGAAGTAAAATAGGTTCAATTCTGAATCAGAAAGATTTCCCGGCAAAATGGCAAGAGCTAAGCTCCACCTCCTATTTCATGGTCATTAGTGACCTGTTAGATCCCCTTCCCTAAACCTAGAGTCCCTGTAGTTTAATTACTGATAGCCTCTGTGTGGCTAGTGAAGAATTCCCCAAGTGGTCACAGTGATTTATTGCTCCTTTCAGCAGCAGACAGTTACAGACCAAATCAGAAGCTTCAATAACGGCACATTCACATGTGTTAGTGTTTATGTTTGATTATTGTTAAATAATTAGAAAACCATTCAATAATCAGCAAGAATTTTTCATGCATTATAAAGCAGTGATTAGCATTGTTTTCTTAGCCAAAAATCTCAAAATTGACAAAAATCTTGAAAAAAGCCTTTGGTGTATCCTTAATCAGAGCATATGGACATGGTAAATAATGTGGAATAGTTTATATCTGTTGATTTGACGTCATTTCAATTGACGGTGTGGTGTTACACTTTCTAGCTTTGTCATTATGATAAATTGATTTGTCAGGGATAATAGAGTAAAGTCTCCCGTCATTTTATTTCCATTTCAAACTCCAAAATCTAGGAGACATCACACAGGCAAACACGTCTTCTTACACTAGTTTGACATGATAATTTGTGACATTAAATACTTCACATCCGTTAAGGTCTCTCATCCTTTCTTATTTTTGTTTGTCTTTCTGTTTTCTTTACAGTGGTCCTTTAAATCTATGGATGCAGAGATCATTTTTAGTTGATTTTTTTTGGCTATGTTATTTAATAATCATATAAACACACCTTTTGGGGTTGAAATATTAGTGAAGAAACTATAGTATTAGTAAATGCTCATTGTGAAGGATTATGACAAAGGAATTTTTTACCTGTTACCAAACTCGGAAATATAACCATTTGGCTGAGCTTTCTAAATCTTGAGCTTTTAATAAATACATGTATATACCACTACATGATACATTTGTGTTAACTCTGTTCTACTAGTAGGCTGAGTCTCCCCTCACGCTTTTGAAGTTTTTGGCGTAAGATGAGGGAATCTTGTAATTTTGTTGTACTCCCATTCTCTAGGGATTTTAGCACACCCGAGCCAAAGGCTCACACGAGTTTTTTTTTTATTAGTCCTCATATTCTGCTTTAATGATTTGATTTTATGGAATTAAGGAATTTTCAATTTTAAATGGTAACTAGAAGGGGAACTAGTATTTGTAATGCAATACTGACTCAGAATGCTAATGGTCTATTTCTCTACTCTCATACTGTAATTTTTCTTGTTCTTTTTTTTTTGGGAGGGGGGGGGGGTATCAATCACTCAGTGCAATACTTTCCTCATATTATGTAACATTTCCCTCTACATTCACTTTCTTATTTTGCGGGCACACGTAGGATGTGGTTATTTTGGCTCTACTTGATTTGCTAACAGGAAGGATACCCCGTGTACCTCATTATACAGGGGTGTACTGGTGTGGTGTTCACCCCATAGTGAGGGTAATTCTACAGAAGGTTCAGATGCCCTGATTTTTTCCTTGTAATATGTACTACAGAGGGAGTGCACAATTTCTGGATCAAGTTTTGTTGATTAACAGTCTATGAAGGAAGCCTGGAAAAGTGCATACCAAACTTGATGCACTCAGTGTATTGCTCCCTATATTCACCAGAATTTAAATCACAAACAATTAACAGGATTAAAGAATATACTGCCTAATTTCAGTCTTGATTACAATATGGCTAATGATTTATCACCTTTAATATCTGATATTATGCTGAAAGCAAGTTTAGATAAGTAAAAAAAAATATTTGAAAGATATCTTAATTTAACTTATTTTAAAAATTAGACTTAAATTCTTAAATCTGGGCTTTTTGCACTCTGTTACTTAAATAACATATAATTTTAACAATTCTTTCAAGGTGAAAAATAAAAAAATCACTTTTACTATTTGAGAACTAAAGTAACTATTTGCATAAATTGCTCCAACCCAGTTTATACCATATTAAATTTGGGTAGCAATTAAAATCATTCTTTAAATAGAAAAAAAATGCACAGAGACATCTGACATAATTCAATTTTAGTGTAATTGAAAAGTACTAAACATGCACTTTGAAAGTAATCACAGGAGATGAACTTGTAAGTGTATGTCAACTTGATCCTTCTGTGTAAAACAATAAAATATGTTCAAATCAAAGTGAATTACAAATTAACAATATACTTTTTCATTCAGTTTGAGTTATCATAGTTACATCATTAATTTGATGCAGTTTTTTGTCAATTTGATAATTTTTTTTTGGAATGGTAATAATTGTATATTTACAATGAACTCTTCTTTTTTCAGGACAAGTCTAAGAAACCTTCAATATCCTTTAATGGAAATCAAGGGGTGAGTTAATTAAGAATCTTATTTAATATTGAAAAAGAAAATCAAACACCAACTTTGAATTTCAGTTTTATCATAACCAATATTATAAAATCAAACCTTTGTTTGTAATCACAGCATAATATATGTCAAGGAAGTCTGGGAAAGCTAAAATATGTAATGTTTAAGCCCTTTGTGTCAGCATATCAGGTTAAAGTTTTCTTTTTAAGTACTCACATTAATTAGAGATGCAAAGAAAATGCATCAAGTATGTTTGATTGTACCTGTCAAGGTTTCAGATGCTGCAATTTCAGCTAAAGAATGTACAAGAAGGAAATATCTAAGGATGTACACTTCCAGACTTGCTTTTGGATGTTGGATCTGACCTACATTTTCTGGATGAGTGGCCAGGTTAAAAGTTTAGGAGCAGGTTCATTCTAAAGTAGTTACCGGTATTTGCCCAACCTGGACCAAGCTTACATCGAAGGATGCACATTACCAAGCTTCCTTTGGATGCTGAATCTGACCTACATTTCTAAATGGGTGACCAGGATAAAGTTTTTGGAGCAGTTTCTTTCTAAAGTGATTATAGGCCCTATGTTAACCAACTTTTTACTGGTGATGCATATATTGATGTGCTCTAGTAGAGTTGCTGAAGTTAGATTTCAGAAAAGTGACCAGGTTAATGTTTTTAAAGTAGGCTATTTCCAAGCAATTATAAGACCGACCTGAACCATACTTAAATGGATAATGCATTAGTGATGAACACTACTGCACTTGCTTCAGATACTGGATCTGATATACACTATGCTGATGAATGACCATCATCATGATCATAGTAAGATTTTTAGAGCAGGTTTTTACATAAAAAAAACTAATTAAGACATAAATGAACCATTGAACTTGCATGAATGTTGGATGAATCTAGAGATGTAAACTACTAGAATGTAAAAGTTTCAGGAAATATTATTTTGCCTTCAAACCTCAAATGAAGCACTGTTATCATGTCAGTCTCCCTGACATCCATTGCTTTCTGAAGTTACAGACACAGCATCCTCTGATATGTTTAGAGGGATAAGGATATTACATTTGTAAATGTTTTATTGTGATTACCAGGTATGTTGTTTCATTAATTGTATTGCAAATATTCAGCTTATTAGTTGAGAAGTTAGGGCAGGTCATATGTATATAGTGTCTTGCACATGTTTATGTAGAAGCTATGTAACATTTATGAGATCATAAGAACCCCATTGTAACACTGAAACTGTGTATAGTCTGGAGTGCCAAGGTCATTGACATCATCAGACAGACAGGGCAGATCCATATAGTACCTCTCTCTTAAACAAGACATGGCAGCCATCAGTACTACTCCATGTTTCTGTTTGTTTAAAAAAAAAAAACAACAAAAGCAAAACAAAAAAAAAAAAAGAAAGAAAAACAGACATCAAGGGCTGGTTATGAATATTTCGTGCAGCTACATGCTGATGACTTAGGTTATGTAATCAGTTGTTTTCAATGTAAAATTGATATTTTTTGCTCCATGATGAGCCAGAGGCTCAGATGCTTCTTTCTAGTTGGAGGTTGTAGTTATACACAGAGACAGGAGACAGAGCACTGATTTACAGAAATAATTTGAAAAAGATTTATGCAATAGCCATTATTTTTTAAGCTATAGGCTAGTTATTTAAAGAGTGAAACGTATGGAGATAACGAACAGTATTCAAGATCAAAAGTCCATTAAACAATACAAAACAGGAGCAGAGCAAACAAGGACTTCCAAAACGTCAGAGTTGGGATCAGGTACCATGGAAGAGTGAGGGTGAAGTAGTGTCATTTTGGAGACCAGAATTCCCCCCCCCCCCCCCATACGGAAAAGACTGTCTTTTTGGTGGTAGATAAAATTAAGATCAATCCAACATTGTTGTCATATTATCAGTACAATTAATGGCATACATATGTATGCATTGCATCCTTTTATAGTGTAATTTCAGTTAAATCTGTGGTTTGTTTTGTTAGACTGAAGTTATATTCAGATACAGTGAGGTTTATGACTCTGCTTTCCTCTTTGAACATTTGTTTCCATTACTGATTTTAATAACAGTAAAATACAAGTTACATACGGTTGAATTCAGTATCTTGAACACTGATATCTCCAATACCATGGATGAAGTGAGATGGACATTCCAACCATATAGTCTTTAGTATTTGATTTCTTAATACTCAGATATATCAAAGTTTTTTCTCGGCCTTATTGAGTAGAGATAACAAGGTTTAATTGCATATATATCAATTGTGTTAGATACATAAAACAATTAAAAGAGAACATCTCTTGAGGGTAAAATACGAATAAAATTTGTTTATGAAAGAATTTTGGAATTCCCCACCCTAATTACGGTCCTCCCTGTGTCCCTCACATGCAGCTTCAGAAACACAGACACATAGACAAACATACATGCTGATTCCATTAAACTTAGTTGCAGGGTATGTTGAATATGACAGCAGCTCTTAAATTACATTCAATTATTCATAGCAGAAGAAAATGAAGCCTCCGTTAAACTTTTTACATGTATACATGTATAGTGTATACATGTATAGTTGCATCCCTAGCGTGATTATATAATGCATGTATTTATAACTGCCTTACTTAAACTTTAAGGCTGTTTACAATACAGGGGTGATTGTACTATGTAATGGATGTGTCAGACGAGGTTGTCTACCTTACACAGGTACATAGAACTCTTGTCAGAAGTTGTGGAAGGAAGGCCAAAATAAACAGTCAATAACAGTCTGGTGTTATAAAAGATTTTTGTTTTGCGGGTGCCGTATATGTGTACTTGATAATTTGTTAATTAACAATAAATATCTAATAATTTAAGCACCAGAGTCAATGTTTTGTTGATATTACAATTTAAGAATTATAAAAAATAAATAATAAAATCCGCCCACCCGCCCCAATTTTTTAGCAAATTAGGATGAGAATCTAAAGATTAATTTTACCTGGCCTAATGAGGACTATTTTATATACTATAAACTGCAAACACAATCCAAATTCCTACTCTACAGAGAAATAAAGCGAAAAGTGAAAAAAAATATAAAGAACTTGTGTAGAATGTTTGTATGTTGCCTCCTTAATTACTGTTTGTGCTTTATTTGTTTATGAGGTAAACAAGTTTATGATAAAAGTTAAGTCTCTGCTTGCTAATTATTCTTTATTTACAATGAAGTTTTAGGCACTAAAAGTGCAGATGTATTTTACATTTGACAGATTTCATGCACACTATACAGATCATGTGTTTCATTCCTTTAAACTAAAATGCACTAATGTTACAGTGGTTGTATATAAACATTTAAAGTACATGTGTATTGAAGAATTTAAATGTACCGGTAGTTGCTTATTCTGTTGTCCTTTAAAGATAAAAACACAGAGACTTATTGAATGAATTATTATTTAAAGCAGAATATACAATGTATTGTAAAAAGATAATTTCATGCACTTTTGATTTGCTTTAATTAGAGCCATTTAGTGGGAAAAAATAGACTGTCATATGACACATGGAGAATTTGAGTGCAGTGATGTTTTGATTGTTATTGTAGGTCATCAACGTCCCAGGACGGGACTCTGGCAACTCCAAAACATTCCAGTTCAGTGTTTCCAGTCTGGGGGAAGCCAATGGCTTAGACTGTGTGCAGCAGACAGACTCCAAGTAAGGGGGAAATGACAAATAAGTTACATTTACAGCAGGGTTGTCCTCACAACATCCCAAGATGTCACATTAACAGCGGGGTTGTCCTCACAGCATCACAAGAAATTATATTTACAGTGGGTTGTCCTCACGACATCACAAGACATCACATTTACAGTGGGTCTTCATCACAACATCTCAAGACTTCACATTTACAGTGGGTTGTCATCACAACATCACAAGATGTCACATTCACAGTGCAGTTGTCCTCACAACATCACCAGATGTCACATTTACAGTGGAGTTGTCCTCACAACATCACAAGATGTCACATTTACAATGGGATTGTCCTCACAACATCACAAGATGTCACATTTACAATGGGGTTGTCCTCACAACATCACAAGACATTACATTTACAGTGGGGTTGTCCTCACAACATCTCAAGACATCACATTCACAGTTGGTTGTCATCACAACATCACAAGATGTCACATTTACAATGGGGTTGTCCTCACAGCATCACAAGACATCACATTTACAGTGGGTTGTCATCACAACATCTCAAGACTTCACATTTACAGTGGAGTTGTCCTCACAACATCACAAGACTTCACATTTACAGTGGAGTTGTCATCACAACATCTCAAGACTTCACATTCACAGTTGGGCTGTCCTCACCACATCTCAAGACATCACATTTACAGTGGGGTTGTTATCACAACATCACAAGATGTCACATTTACAGTGGGGTTGTCACCATACCATCACAAGACTTCACATTTACAGTTGGGTTGTCATGGCTCAAGCGATTAAAGAGATCAACTTGAATATACATGTCATATTATAACAATTTTGATGCCTACCAATAGTATAAAATGAAATCAGAAAAATCATTGCTTATACACACATACATTAGTAGTTTAGATGTAAATGTGATCAATTGACTAGCTGTTTGCCATTTTAAATATTTTTTTTATAAAAAATATAACCAAGTTTTACTGGGAAACATGAAAAAAATTTAAGACAGATATTATGTGTGGAAGATGCTGTGATAGAAATATGTTTTCTTAATGAACTGGTTTGGTATTCACAGTTTCCCTTTTTTATGTTTGTATTATTGGAAAATAGTTGTATCTATTTTTTCAGTTTCATAATACACTCCATAACCCTTCAAACAAAGAACTGAAGGCTAATCACTTCTTCATGGATTAAGTACTTTGGTAATATGACTTTGGCCCACGCCTTAACATATATGAAGCAGACATTATGATGTTAATTGTAAAATCAAGCCTTTAAATTCTTGTGGGGGTCAAAATCAGCAATAAGGAAGCTATAGAAATTGTAGAAAAGAGGTTTTTTCTTTGCTGGATGTGTTTAATAAATAATGTGATATGAAAGTCATACTATAAACTTACACTTATTCACTGACTACATCTGTGGTTAGATGTTTATATGTATGGACATCATATTAAGCTATAAAATCTGCCTTTATGTGCTGCATTGCAATTCCTATTGTAACATTATGTCATTGAATTTATTCTCATCAAATTTATGTTGGTTTTTACACCGATTGTAAACACTGATAAACAAAGCATTATATTGACCTTGATTTGAGATGTTCAGTGGCAGTCATTATAACAAACATCACAAGTGGGCCACTTCTGTGTTAAGATTTAATTGGAGTGATCCGCAGTTTTAGGCCATACTGTTCTATTGAAGTCAGGCACTGACTAAGCATGTATTGTCCTTGAGTAAGTCCTTGATCAACCAGTACAGGTGTTGTAAGTGTATAGGTATATAGCTTCATATTCAGAAACTGACTTGGAGAACTGAACAATTAGAATATGCATTCTAGCTGGGCTAATATTTGCTATGCCCATTGTCCAAACCTATTCACTTGTTGTATATAAAATTATGTATAAATAAAAAGATAATACTGAAAGTAGGATTTATTAAAGTGCAGGCTTATTTTTGTATTTTATCTTATCAATGACACCTGCATTATTTTAGCTTACAGTACTGTATACAAGAATCCATTGAATTTTTCAAAACACCTTTCACATTCTATAAACATAAATCTATATTGTGTGTAGACCCGATGTTATTGTGTACCAAATGATGAAAATTATTTTATATGTACATGTGAAAGTAAATTAATTATGTTCAAGTGGAATATTTTATGTGTGGCTGTGAATTGTAAAAAGTCATGTACTTGATGGAAGAAAACTAAAAAAAAGAGAATTATGGGCCACATATGGGGTAGAAAAGGCCCTTTTCCCATCAAATATTAGACAGGATTTCAACATTTTCCCCCGAAGACAGTTTATTGAAAGTTAAAAGTCTGCCATTGTAGTACCTGACATTAATACTCGAGGGAATGCTGTATTTGTAGCATTTGATGAATTAACCAGACTCATTATATTATTAAGTTCTGTTTTGTGTGTATATTTAGAATAACTGTTACACACATGTCACTAAAGCTTGTAATCAGCAATACAAAACATCACTACCTATGATCAAGTAGAGCATGAACTAATTAATTTTACACAAAGAATGTTTGAATTGACAATGAGAAGTGAATGTCAGGGGAAAAAGTATTTTGACTTTTAGAATTTTTTTTATAGGCAAATTTTCATTATTCATACATAATCATACTGATAGCTGCAATTATTAATGAGACAAAAAAATTAAGTACCAGTTTGTATGAGGCGTACTAGCAAATTTATTACTTTCATATGTGTTCTTAACAAGACATTTGTTTCAGAGTGATTCGGTATATATCAAAACAATTCAGGGTTTTTTTGTCCAAGGCATAATTTTCCAAGTATTTTTTTCAAGGTGGTTTCTTTACAGTTAATATTATTCCAATATTAGACAGTATTTCAGCTCTTTTCTTACATTAGAAGTCCGGCTTTTGGCAGTTTATCATAGATAATGCATGTCAAAATCACCTGGTCTCCATGTGAGATGTGGAGCTTCTGTTTATCTCAGAGGTCATCTATTTACAATACTGTGAGACAACATCACCTCAGAGTATAGTAGTGAAGACATAAAGAAATGACTCTCCTACATCATGAAGATGGTCTATAACTGTACATAGTAAACAAGTCATATACTGTAAACCAACTTTTATTCGCGTGCGAGAAATTTTCGCGATGTTCGCGAGAACCTCGTCGTCGCGAATATTTCTCGCCGCGAACCAGTCCTCAAGGTCTACTTGCATATTACTAACAGAACCAAAAAAGGCTTGATCGCGAAAATTAATCGTCGCGAACTAGTTTATTCCCGGTAAATCGCGAAATAAAGTCGTCGCGAATAAAAGTTGGTTTACAGTAAAGCAAAACAAAAGAACATTATTAAGTCAATAGGTGTCAGTAATATAACAAATAAACAAAACTGATTTTTTAACAGTTATTATCAAGAACAGATTTAAGTTTGAATGTTTTAAAGCAGATTTTTCTTCTTTGAAAGGAGTGCAAGACTTTACTATTTATTAAATTTCCACTATACTGACATAATGCTTAATTAGATTGGTTATTTTATGAAATATTTTTTTATGCAGCATTTGATAGAATACAAATTATTTTGTAGAAATGGTAACCAGCTGGTCAACCTGGGCACAATGTCTGCCAGGCTGAATGTCCAGGCTACGTCAGATGTCTTCAGACAAACGAAGGAAACGATGAAAACGGCTCAGGAAGAGTGGACAAAAGTCAGGTAGGTCAGTCCGGAGTAAAAACGGCCCAGGAAGAGTGGACAAAAGTCAGGTAGGTCAGTCCGGAGTAAAAACAGCCCAGGAAGAGTGGACAGAAGTCAGGTAGGAGTGCAGAGTGACCACGTCATGGCTGGTATCGATCAAATTAAAAATCACAGCCTTGCATATAAATAAATGAGCTGTTTACATTTTAAATTCACATATACTTTGAATAAAGAGAAAAGATTTTGAACCAAGAGTAAACCATTGACATTTACCATGTTTACCTTAAGATTCTTACCATATAATGGGAAACTTTAGTGACCATTTAATTTTGGCACTATTATTTATTAGCAACAGTTTTGTTAACACTAAAAATACATTTTGTTTATTATTCAATCAAGTATTGTCTGAAAAATTGTCCAGATTTATATTTGCTTAAAAATCATTATGCTAATAATAAATGCCCACTTTTTTGGAAAAAGTTGAGAGCTATAGCAAACTTTTATACACTTCATCCTATTTTCTTTCATTTCAAAATCCACTATTAGGTTGTAAATACACTTAAGATGAATAGCGAGTAAAGCTGTACACCACTGTACTTTATGAAGAAGTCAAGGTCATTATATTGTTGGCTGTGCTATACCTTTTCAGGAACTTGTATAGCCACATAACATTTCCAATTACCGCTAAACAGTTGTTTACACTAGAATTTGCATTTTGCATTTTTAATGGATTTTTAGTCAATATGTTCATATTTTTGGTCAATAGAATAGTAATAAAATGTAAATTGGGAGTAGTAATAAAAAAGCTTCCTTCTAAAATGTTGTTATACTTTAATAAAACACAGATTTTTCTTTATAGATTGTAGAGAAAAAAGTAAACTAAATAAGACATTATATTCCCAGTATATGTATTTGCAAAAAGGGGGATCTATTTGGAAGAATTAAATGCTTATAAAAACCACAAGTATTCCATTTTTATAGTATAAAAAATGTCAAATAAAATGACTACTGTTAATTCTAAAGGAAGAAAACTTAGGAAAGCACTGGTATGTAAGCCTCATACAGGTGTTTTCTTACCCTCTGTACTGTGAAATCATACATATATCAGTATAACTTGTCAGAATATTGCATTTGAGAAATGAATAACTATTTATAGAATGCCATTAAACTTGTCAGTACGTATTATTTATAGAAATGAATTTCTATTTATAGAATGTGAGTATAACATGTCTGTATGTATTATTTATATAAATGAATTGCTTTTGATAGGACACAAGAAATCAAACTCAATGGAAGGAATGGTGTTGGCCGAAAAATCAAGAAAGTTAAACATGAATCTGAACTTAAAAACCCGATTCCTCCTACACGCCAAGAGAAGGAACGGGAGTTTGACCTCAAGAATCGAATTCAGGAGGCCAAGCGGGACGTGGATATTCGGCTAATGATGCAGCACAGTGCCAATAATTCTAAAGTGAACCCTAATCTGAACAGTGCAATAAAAACAAGTAAAACAACTGCTGTAGTCTCCCCCTTCACCAACAATTCATCCTCACGTAAAGTAAGTCCATCTCAGTCACCACACGAAGTGTCATCCACAACGGGCGGAGTGCCTTCCCCTTCTTATTCTTCCAGTCAGCCTGTCAAAACCACCAAAACTGCTGTCATTACTGCACCTATCAGGTAACTAAAGTACTACAGGTATAATTAATCTCATATAGATATGTTAGATGTCAAAAAGGGCTCAATGAAACACCAGTATCCAATAATTCAGCATTTATTAAATTATCAATTTACTGAATACTAAAAGCCTTTAGATTTCAAGTATTATATCCATTACCTATATAATAAAGAAATATATTCTTGATCAAATCCCACAAAGCCTTAGGGGCTTTTATAGAAGATTTAATCATGTACCAACCTGTATGTTTATCTCAATGAATTTGCTTTGTTCTTGAAAAAAATATTTTTAAAAAAGAACCATTTGCTGAGACAAATGTGTTTTGAATTATGAGACAAACTTAAAGTAGGTTGCTAAAGCTAGAAATATTTTATTTTCAGAGAAAGAATGGTCCATTTTCTTGCTGTCCGTTCATATAAAAAGCCTGAGCTATATGTTCGCTTGATGAAAGGTGAGTTTTTTTTAAAGGGATTTTGATTGGATCATATGGTCTACGTTTTTATAACTGTTTGTCGACTTGTAGGAACAGGTAAGCGTTATAGCCCAGAGGCCTCTTGTTCTAATAATGTGTCCCATATTGACCTAGTTTTCTGATATTTCTATAATTGTGTCAGATCTCACGGTCATGTGTAATTATATAATAGCTTTCTCTAAGCCTGTCAGCTGTGTACCCTAATTCTTTATCAAGTATCAAGGTTGATTTTTTTTGTCCTTAATTAAGATTATTATTAAAAGAAGAAATTGATAAAACTAGTGTGTTAATAATGCAAGAAAAATCTGAAAAATAGCTCTATGTGAAACTTTTATATTGAACATTATATTGTGAAGTCAAGAGCATCCTGGCCTGGATGTGATCGGACATGGTAACAATAATAATCTTTGTGGTATCCTTGTTAATTTTAATGTATGTAATAATAATCTATCTTTGTGGTATCCTTGTTAACTTTAATGCATCAGTTGTGTGACTCCTTTACCTTCTAGCATCATATACATAATCATCAATAGAACTAATGGCTATTGTTTAGAAGTTTTACAAAGCTGACACACTGTGTTAAATCTGATACATAGCGACATCTGGGCTTCCGTCAACATCTGATATGTCTGTACAATAAAATGATGCTATTTAGGGTATTTATTAATGTGACTTTCCTGGTGTTTGTATATGTTTATGCATCAAGAAAGACAATGGTTTAAACAAAATACCTCTTTTACAAGAAAAAAGAGAGAGAAAAACATTGAGAAATTAAGCTGTTTGCCAAGATAAATGATTTTGATTGGTTCAACTTGTAGGTCTTTTTTATTTGTGAGAATCAAGTTGTCTATAAAGATTTATGACTTTCTGAAGTCAGGGTCATTTTGTATCAATGATGGGAATGGTAGAAAGAGAAATCTGTATGACAATTTATTTATTTCTAGTTATAACAGGTTACTAAACATTTCACAGTTGTACACATGAATATTTATATATTCAACAATGACATTTTTACTTGCCTTAATTAATAAATGTCATGTTTATTTTCAATTTTCTGAAATGTCAACCATTACTACCAAAACAAAATTTCAGGACATTATCTTTTCATATTATGTACAGTATGTATAGAATTTCATTTTTAGCTGTTAGGCTGATACAAATTTGACTTCAATAGCATATCTGTTCAATTGAAGTCATCTTTCAAATTGTTATTTTCAAAACTTTATTGTCAATTGTAAGTAATCTTGCAGATCATGAAAAATTCTCTATAAATACAAGACAGTTGATAAAATAATGCTGATTGTATGGTAACTACAGTCCGAAGATTTCCAAAATGAGTCCTCCTGAAAGAAAAATAAAGACACAATTAAGAGACAATTATGAGAACTATAGTCTTGAAGTTATGAATCTTCATGTATTTCATTTCAATGCCTGTATACTTAACACAAAAGTTTGCTGAGTTTTTCTGACTGATGTTGAATGTTTTGTAGATGGTTTGAGTGATGCTGATCGTAAGGAGTACAGTACCTTTAATTTAGAGGATATAGCTGTTCTAAACCAGAAAGATAACCGATACTCTCTGTCAAAGCACGCCTTCTCTGAGGTCAAACCCGACTGGCCGTACTACACAGATCACGAACGAGAACTGGTCAGAAAGTAAGTAGTCACATAGATGGTAGTCAAATAAAGATAAGACACAAAACAGTGTAGTCACAAAGAGGTGTAGTCAAGAAAGAATGGGATACTAACAAAACAGTGTAGTCACAATGAGGTGCAGTCAAATAAGAATAGGATTGTCACAAATTGGTGAAGTCAGAGAGAGGTGTAGCCAAGAAAGAATAGGATAGTCACAAAACAGTGTAGTCAAAAAGAAGTGTAGTCAAATAAGAATAGTCACCAAATAGTGTAGACACAGAGAGGGTAGTCAAATAAGAACAAGATACTCACAAAACACTGTGTAGTCACAATAAAGTGTTGTCAAGAGAGAATAGGATAGTCACAAAACAGTGTAGTCTCAAAGAGGAGTGGTCACAAAGAGGTATAGTCAAGAAAGAATTGGTTATTCACAGAGAGGTATAGTAAGTATAGTCACAAAGAGAAGTGGACAAGAAAGAATGGGATAGTTACAAAGAAGTAGAGTCACAGAGAGTTGTCGTCGAGAAAGAATGAGATAGTCACAAAAGAGTGTAGTCACAAAACGTTTAGTAAAGAAAGAATGGAAAATTCACCATAAAAGTAATTTCTTAAAGAGGTGTAGTCAAGAAAGAATGGGATACTCACAAAGAAATGCTGTAACAAAGAGATGTATTCAATACATTCAATAAAGAAAGGGATAGGTTTCATGTTATTACTATTTTTAATTTTAAAGAAATTATGTGGATGAATTCTCTTTTTGATACTAAAATATGGGCTATGAATTTGATATTGTGATAAGTAGTAGAGTATTGGGGATGATGTATATTTCCTGTTTACATGTTAATTAAGTGAGTAAATGATTGTCTTAAATTGAACCAAAAAAGAACAGCCATTTCATACGGTTATTTACGCTGCATGAGATTTGACAGTAATTGGAAAGATATTGGTGATTGCCTCACACAAGATAGCATTGCTCATATTTAAATTGCAAAACAGGATTTATGAAGAAATACATAACATTTGATTCTCTGAAGATTTACAGTTATTGAAATTGTTTTCCTCTATCTCACCATCAACTTCTCTTCAGAATTTACTGGGATGAGAATAAGATTGATGCATGTACTTAATATCAGTTAGAATTTCCTCAGTTACATACTATTAACAGTTTGGGAACAAGAGAAGCTGGGGACCTTCCTGTTGTCCAAATCAAGGTTTCAGTTATTTTTTTTATCAGAAAAATGACCTGATTGTCAAGAGAATATTTCAAATATGTAATGAAAATCTACATTTTCAAAGTCAAGGATAAGGAACTGTACAAGACCTGACCATGTTGCAAACCAAAGAATATGTGTTTATCAAGGAAAATATTGCTTCCTTGGTAGCTAAAAAAGGTTTATCTATTAAATCATTTAATTTCATCAAATATGATATACAAACAGAGAGCATCCAAATACATAATGGGTAAATTTTAGTTTTAAAGATGGGTGTTGCCTGCATAGCTGCTAAAAGAATGATTTTTTTAAAAAAATATTTGAAAATGCTAGTTCTCCTATAGTTTGTCCTGATTTCAATAGAAATTTATACAAGGGTAGAAATCACAGGCCTTTAGATTGTTTTAATTTGACCCCAAAAAAATGTGATGTATAAAAAAGATATTTTTTAATGACTCAATTTTTGTCAGCAATCTAAAGGCCTGTGGTAGAATTAAGAAAGAAAAGTACTTTGAATCAGTATCATTATTAAATGAGAACTATTGGTTTATTTCAGGAAGCTACATAGTTTGTCTCCAGCGTCTTCCCCTGCCACAAGTCAGCCATCCCCCAAAGCCAGCCCAACAAGTAGTACACAGGTAAACATTAACACCAAAGCCAGTCCAACAAGTAGTACACAGGTAAACATTAACACCAAAGCCAGTCCAACAAGTAGTACACAGGTAAACATTAACACCAAAGCCAGTCCAACAAGTAGTACACAGGTCAAAATTAACCTCAAAGTCAGCCCAACAAGTAGTACACAGGTCAAAATTAACCTCAAAGCCAGCCCAACAAGTAGTACACAGGTCAAAATAAATACCAAAGCCAGCCCAACAAGTAGTACACAGGTCAAAATTAACCTCAAAGTGATCCCAACAAATAGTACACAGGTCAAAATTAACCCCAAAAGCAGTCCAACAAGTAGAACACAGGTAAAAAATTAACCCCCCCTCCCCAAAGCCAGTCCAGCAAGTAGAACATAGGTTAAAAAAAAATTAACCCCCAAAGCCAGTCCAACAAGTAGTACACAGGTAAAAATTACCCCCCCCCCCCCCAAAGCCAGCCCAACAAGTAGTACAGAGGTAAACAAGAGGCCCATGGGCCACATCGCTCACCTGAGAAGCTTTGACCATTCTGTTCTTTACCAGATTTCCCCCTTGTTATACATAATGCATACCCACCCTACCCCACTGATCATAATTTAGACATTTTGAAATCTACACTACCCCATGATCCTTCCATGGGCACATATGTTTCAGCTTTTTTGGCCCAGTGGTTCCCGACAAAGATTTTTCCTATATATTTCTATGTAAAACTTTGATTCCCTATAATGGCCCCCCCTTCCCCCGGGGGTCATGATTCCTACAATTTAGAATTTACACTACCCCAGAATGCTTCCACATAAGCTTCACTTTTTCTGGCCCAGTGGTTCTTGAGAAGAAGATTTTCAAAGATTTTTCCAATATATTTCTATATAAAACTTTGATTCCCCATTGTGGCCCCGCCCTTCCCCCGGGGGTCCTGATGTGAAAATTTTAGAATCTACATTATACCAGGATGCTTCCACATAAGTTTCAGCTTTTTTGGCCCAGTGGTTCCTGAGAAGAAGATTTTCAAAGATTTTTCCTATATATTTCTATGTAAAACTTTAATACCCCATTGTTGCCCCGCCCTTCCCCCGGGGGTCATGATTTGAACAATTTAGAATCTACACTACACCAGGATGCTTCCACATAAGTTTCAGCTTTTCTGGCCCAGTGGTTCTTGAGAAGAAGATTTTCAAAGATTTTTCCTATATATTTCTATATAAAACTTTGATTCCCCATTGTGGCCCCGCCCTTCCCCCGGGGGTCATTATTTGAACAATTTAGAATCTACATTATATCAGGATGCTTCCACATAAGTTTTAGCTTTTCCCCAGTGGTTCTTGAGAAGAAGATTTTCAAAGATTTTTCCAATATATTTCTATATAAAACTTTGATTCCCCACGCCCTTCCCCCGGGGGTCATTATTTGAACAATTTAGAATCTACATTATACCAGGATGCTTCCACATAAGTCTCAGCTTTTCTGGCCCAGTGGTTCTTGAGAAGAAGATTTTCAAAGATTTTTCCTATATATTTCTATATAAAACTTTGATTCCCCATTGTGGCCCTGCCCTTCTCCCGGGGGTCATGATTTGAACAATTTAGAATCTACACTACCCCAGGATGCTTCCACATAAGTTTCAACTGGCTCAGTGGTTCTTGAGAAGAAGATTTTTTAATGACCCAACCCTATTTTTGTCTTTTCTTAACTCCCCTTGCGAATGTCCCTTCATTTTAACATTTAAATTCCCCTTCACCCAAGGATGCTTTGTACTAAGTTTGGTCAAAATTGGCCCAGTGGTTCTTGAGAAGAAGTCGAAAATGTGAAAAGTTTACAGACGGACAGACAGACAGACGGATAGACAGACGGATGGACAGCTGGACGGACGACGGACAAAATGTGATCAGAAAAGCTCACTTGAGCCTTCGGCTCAGGTGAGCTAAAAATTAACCCCCCAAAGCCAGCACAACAAGTAGTACACAGGTAAAAAATTACCCCACCCCCCCAAAGCGAGCCCAACAAGTAGTACACAGGTATAAAATTAACCTCAAAGCCAGTCCAACAAGTAGTACATACATGAAAAATTAACCCTCCAAAGCCAGCACAACAAGTACCTGTGGTACACAGGTAAAAATTAAATTTCTGTCTGTTTCATACCCCCCATCCTCCTCTTTGCCTAGGTAATGCAGCAAACTACAAACTGACCACACTCCACTAAGCACAATTTTAAAACCTCGTACATTAAAAGTTAATGGAATATTAGATAAAATATGTAGCATCCTGTTTTGTATGGAGCAGTCTGGATCTTTATTTCATTATATATATTTATAGAAAAGGCCATGTGAACAGCCAGAACAAAATCAGCCATCCAAAAAACAGCGCATATCCCACTACCGCAAGGAAAACCGGCCAGCACTGACGGAAACTGCTGAAAACCGAGAGTCTGTCGGTAACGACCGCACACATAAAAAGGAGAATATTGATGGTAAACAGCTTCAGTCTCAGTAGTGTATGGTCTAATGATGAAGGGATACAGTCTTTTTAAAAATGGTTTCAATTTCTCTCTTTGTTAGGATACTGATGATGTCCTTTAAATTTGAGGGATTTTTCTTGTGTTACCATATAGTCAACTGATTGCTTTCTTTAGTTTGTCCTTCTGGAGTCAATCTCTTTATTCAATCTTTTCTGAAGCTTTTTAGATGCTGTTGCCTACATTACATAACCATAAGGACAAGCAATTGCAAATAAAATAGCAATAAAACCCTAGGGGAATGATTTATTTAAACCCTGATCAGGCGACAGTCTTCATTATATCTCAAAATATCACAAATATTGGTGATTAAATAATCACTTGTCTAGTGTTTCAGACACTTCATTTCATTCATGATTGCTTAAGCTTGATATTTGAAAAATACAACCAGAGATAGACAATCCTTTGCTTCTCATCTGAATGTTAAAATAAACAAATTTTTATATCTTAAAACATCCTACACAATGTAGTACATGTTTCATAAGTTAACATTGTGTAACAGGTTTTCCCAGTCAAAGTGAATAAACATTTTGTGTATTCAGCAATTTGTTTTATTGATTTTTTTTTTATTCATGAGATCAATGACTTAAGCAATACTTTGTTGGCATCTCAATGTAAGCATAAAAACATGCACAAGTTTGGATTAAAAATGTCACTTACATCTTTGATTTTGAAGTAGAGGTGTACATGTATCTTTATAAAGTTTGGAAATTGTAAATCAGTGCCAATATCTGACTTTCTGTATTTTTTGTTTCCAGACTCGGCAGACGAAGCTTCCTCGACATCAGAGACCCCCGACTATTTCCTGTAAGTAGAGGATACACCAGAGTTATCTCAGGAAAAGATTTAGTTCCTTATAAACATTCTGAGTTATTTCCATCATTATATAAACAGATGATAAGCTGCAATATAATTGGACAAGAGAACTGTTTCCTAAACAATAAAACACCATTTTTGACCACACAAATTATCCAAACTATAAAATATGAAAGAGAGATAGGGTGATATGGCCTGGTTTTATAGCTTATCCGAGCTTTTAGCTCAGGTGAATTTTTCTGCCCAAAAGTAGAGTGGCTTCCATTTGTCCATCTATAATTTTTTAAAACAATTTAACTTCTCTAGAAACACCTGGTTATTTTCAACTTTTTAAATTTTAAACAATATTTTATTATGTATAAACGTAACAGGATTAGACAGCAGGCACTGCCTGTATAAGTCCTCTCCATGAGGACTTAATTTCAACATAACTTGCAACAAAGCATCCTTTGGTAAAAATGAAGGGCCACAGGACTTACAAAAGGAATTATTGGAATTGTTTAAGTTTAAGAAATAAGAGATCAAAAATTGGCCAATTTCAATAGGGATTAAATCAAGGTTTACGGTTCAGATTTTGATATATGTACGAGTATTGCTAAATGAGAAAATAATACTTAGCCTTTATAAGTAAAGGAATAAATTTACACGTTTGCTACTTGTGCAATTAGGTAATTGGTTTCAGTTCAACATTTAATTTTTTTGCCTAGAACATGAAATATTTTTAAAAGATTTAGATAAAAGTAGTGTTAGGATACCTAATAAGTTTACTAGAATTCCAGAAATTGAATTTTATTTGAATTTGTTTAAAAAAATTATATAAACATCATCAACAAGTAAACCATGATGACTATTAATCGATATTTCTTTATTTTGCAGTAAATACATAGCAATATCAAGTGGACCCCAGAGAGCCAAATATAAACAAGACTTTAATACAGAGTATCAGGAATATCGCGACTTACATGACAATGTGGAGAAAGTGACGAGAAAGTTTGCTGACCTCGAGACATTAATGAAACGAACTCAGCCGGGTACAGAAGAATTTGAGGTAAGTACTTATGTTCTTTTAGGCTTAAAAAGCTGGATAAAATCGAAAAACTTGCCTATTACATATTTGCAGTTAAACTTTTAAATTACTCGATAGTTCAAAAGTGCTGGAAGTTACCAAATAAAAAAAGGATTTTAAGTCAACAAAAATGAGTGAATTAATTTCTCAATCTTTTTTCCTAAAGATGAAATATCGTTGAGGTGAAATAGGGGCATTTTATCTGCTGCTTCATTTTGATGTTTGAATGATAAATGTGAACTGTACTCTTTATTTTTAAACAGAATCTTAAAAATAGAATACGACAGGAATATAAGTACCAGAAAGATGATCACAAATACATGGAACAGAAAAAACGATTCGAGTACCTACACAAAAAACTGGGTCACATAAAACGACTGATTCTGGACTACGATAACAGCCAGCCCGCGATGTCATAGCTGTGGAGTCTGGCAGAGTTATGTCCCTTTCTGTAATTGACCTGACCGAGCCTGCTGACTGTGATTCTATAAATAGCCTTATAAAGGTAGAAGATTCTCCTGGTGTATGGGGGGAGTCAGCCATCTGGGTGCCTCTGTTTTTGTGTGTTTGTTTGGTGAGTCACAAGGTGGCAGATATGTTTGGTGATTGCTCTGGTTGTATCTCTCAATATGTGATATTCTTTAATATTTTGTGTACATTTTTGACAAAAAGTACATAGATGTAAATTTGATGTCAAGATGGCAGTATAAATTATTTTTGTTATGTTTCTCTGTTTAATGTTATGGTGTAACATTGTTGACATGGCATTAGAGATTATTGATTGTGCTAAACTCACAGCCATTTTGCAATAGTCAATAGAGGGCAAAATTTATTCTGTTACTAATTATTATTGCATGACATTGTAAGGCATGACTAGGCTTTTTGCAGAAAGGGACATTTTTTTCTGCTAGGACTATATTTTTGTGATTTGCCCAATGATGTATTTTTCTTATAATGATGACCTGATTGCCCAAGGATCTGACCTGGAAATTGAAAAAAATTGTTGCAAACATATCCTTGATTTTCCATGAAGACTTGTCAAGGCAATTGTGATCTGTGGATTGATAGTCGAAGAAAAAGATCTATAATCATGTAATGATTGATCTGGTCAAGATTGATTTACACACCTCTTCAATTGATTGTATTTTTAACATTCAGATCTCACGGTGAAAAGCTAATTAATTTTTGCATAATTAACTTGTAAACTGGTGGTATCTGAGTTTGTACATTACAGTTTTGTTTGAGTTGATATTTTTAATGTGTTGACATTCATTGTTTGGATGTTAGTGCTATATTTAAGATCATTCAGTATCAAGTGCCTTAATCTTTTTCCCTGTTATATATACAACATTGGTTTTACCAATTTCTTCATGGCATTACCACACTTATTGTTTCACTTTTGTTACTAATTTATTTTGTTATTTATTTGGATATTTTCCCTAGTTTTACGGTGAAATTTCAACCATTAAACCTTTCAATCTTTGTCTTGATCAGCATGTATATGCAAAATAGTAAACATGTTTTTTTATTTTAAATTTTACACGAGGACTTTGCTGTAATTCTGGTATGCATTCATGATTTTTCGTAAAAAATTTGATCAAGATGACTCAAAGATAATGAAATTAATGATTTGTGACACTTCTTATAAATTTCTCAGCAAATTATATGTAATGATCTCAAATATTGCAACTTTAAACACTTGGCACAAATTGTACTGGCTTAGATTTTAATGCACAAGCAGTCAAAGGGAGAGAATTCAGACCTATGATTCCTCCATGACATTGATTATGAGATGCGGAAGTTGAAGGCTAGTGTACATATTTATTCAGAAGCATTGTCAAATGTTTTGTGTCAAATTATTGCACCATTTTTGTCAAATTTTGCATGTATGAATGGCAGATATCCAATCCTCCATAAAAATACTTTAAAAAAATTGTAAAAGATGTAAAAACAAAAAAATGCTATATACAATATTATACAATGTATATACATTTAAAAAAAAATGCAAAAAGGAGGATATTGGAATCAATGCAAAGTTCATAAAACAGGAAAGTCATGTATTTTCATTAAAAACATCATTTTAAGTGATAAAATATGTTATGAACTTATGATTGTAATGAATCAAAATTGAGAAAATTTGATCATTTTTATATCAGAGTATTACAGAATTTCCTGCTTTATGAGGAAACCAAGTTGATATATACATGTAAGAGGGGAGATTGTGGAAAAATTGTGTTGCAAAAACTGATGGATACTTGATTTGTGAGAATTTACCAATCAAATTTGATTAATTAAAAATATGAGGTTGTACATTACTTTAGCTCAAGTTGGACCAAAGACAAGAAAACAAGTTTAAAGTACTCCATGTCACTATAGATGCCATAATACTGTGATATAAGTTGGCGATACATGTATCTGTGAAATTATCACCTTTTTGTTGAAGATTTGCTACATATAAATAGATAGATAGATGTAAAACAAAAATCACAGATCAGTCATTTAAGGAAGATTCTGATACAAAACAAAACAAGCATCTTCACCTCACTGGAGTAAGGAGTGGAGAAGTTTTCATGGAAAAGTGTAGGAGAATGTGACATTTTTTTCTCTCTATTTATTGTTTGTGGTGTGTGTCTGAATGAATGAAGCTTTCTGTATTCTGAGTGTCTCAGAGCATCTTGTCATTTCTGGTGATTTCTTTTTTATCCGTGTTGTGGCATCTCCATGCTGTGCTTACACTAGATTCACTATCTTTTGTAATTACCCCCCTTTGTAATATCTCCTCTTAGAGTAAGATAGAAAGTTGCAACAAAAAAAAAAATAAGTAAATATATGATCACTGTAGATCTTTATCATTGTAGAAATTGTATCAGGTCAAGTTTAAAGTACATCAGCTGTTCAAGTCTGCTGTTTTGAAGGGGGAAAGCTGTTTAGCTCTTGCTAAATTAGCTATATATGACTGATAAATTTATGACAGAATTTTAGAGAGAGAGTAAAAATAATATTTAAAAAAATGAATAAAGGGTACACATAAAAAAAAATATTGATTATATAGAGGTAGGAAGGGGATTATTGTTTTTGATATGAGTGCTAGATGAAAAATGGACCATAATTGACACAAACTTGAACTTTACCCCAAATACATGACACGAAGAAGTATCAAGCTAACTGCACAATATGGTGTAACATGTTTTTCCTTGCTCAACAGACATGATTTTTCAAAGCTAATCATGATTTTGTGCTTATTGGTTGTTTTAGAATGAATTTGTAAATATGTTCATGAATTTATTGAAATTGTAAATATTAAAATATAAGTTTGAAATACAACATAAGTATTTGAAAATAATAATTAAGTATATAAAGTTTTATGGGATGAATTTGTTTGCATGCTGTTTGCGGATTTTTTGTTTTAAAACCTTTCTCATCACATTCCACGTTTGAATAAATAGTCTGGACAAGCATTCCAAAGATCAAACCAGTGTGTACTAACAGTCAGTGAATAGTCCAGACTAAAACAGGAAAACCCCTCAGACAAGGGGGTTATTGGATGTCATGTTTGAATTTAAATTTAACTTTTTCTTTTTTGAATAAGATTAATTTTTGATTACTTTCTATAACAAAGCACAGAAGTTGATTGATGTTTTAGATGTTGATGAGTGGCAGATGTATACTAGGGATATCTCACCCTCTGTTTTTCACATTATTATCATTCTGTATGCAGAGCTGTTATGCTGATGTCGGCATGTGTTGTATATTGAGTGTCACATGGTAAATTTGACATGTCGCACATGAATAAATATTTTTACATGCTGCACATGGCCAAATGTTATACAATGTACCATGTGATGCACATGGCATGGTAAATGTTATCTTCAATAAACAAATGCATTGAAAAAACTATAGTGTTCTCTATTTTTTCTGCCAGCTGATACCAGAGTACCCTGCAATTGTGAAAAGTTTCTTTCATCCGTCAGGTATTGTCACTCGCTTCATGTATCCAAACATCCACAAAAATACAGTTCATGTACTTTGAAAGAGATGGCAAGATTTCAAGTTCCACAAGGCCAGGTCTACTTTCAATATTAATATACAGGGAACCTTGTCATATGAAATATTAGAAGTCTATTAGTGTACGTAAATGTACATGTAGATCCCAAGAAGCAACAGTAATTCAATTTTGATCTGACAGGGGTTTGCAATTATTTGACTTTTTATCCAAAAACTACAAACAAATCACTCATCCAGAAATGTAATTAAAATCCAGCATCAGCAGGCCTGTTTGTGTGCATCCCTTGATTCATCAATCATGCTAATTTGGTTCAGATAGGCCTCATAGTTATGGACCTGCCATAAAAACTTTAACCTAGTCGCTCATCTGGAAAATGTATTTTAGATCCAGCAGCCAAAGCAAGCCCATTATAGCATGAATCATTAGATGCATAATCCATGTAAGTTTAGGGCTTATAATTTCTTAAGAATGAACCTGCTCTGTGGCAACGCACTTTGAAAAAATCATTTTTTAGTCATGGAAAGATTTTATTTGTTATTTATCCTTCAAAAAACTAAGCCTAACCCTAACCTCAAAAATGAATTGATTTACTCCCGTCGAAAAGAGGAGAAGACGGGTAGTGTGTCCAAATCTTTATCTTTCCAATACATAGGTGTCGGTAACAAACGGGGGAGGGGAGCAATAAACCTAAAAAGGGTACCCTGCATTTTCAGTGCTTATACGATGTATATATCTTTCCAAAATAAGTGGGGGGCTTAGCCCCCCATCCCCTCCCCTGGCCCTTCGCCCAGTCTCGATGTCTATGCTATACTCAAAGCATTCATATAATTATGTATTTAACTAACTGGTATGACTTTCAATAATAAATGAGTTAATTAAAACAGATGAAAACTAGAAGTTTTAAGTACAGTAAAACGTATGAGAGAGAAAGAATTTTCATAGTTTTGAACAATCAAATTGGCCCCTTTTTATTATGATAAATGCTAAGTTGCTTGGAGCTTTCCTCTGTTAATGCCCCCTATACACCTTTAAATCTACTTATCAAAGACTAAAATTAAAAAAAAAAAGAAACGAATTTATGAACTTAAACAATCGTCACTCTTTTTTTCAAGACCCTTTAATTTTCCCTTTTATTTTATCAAAACCTTAAATATTTAAAACGTCAATATCTCAGGTCCTACAGCAACTTTATCATAAAAAAGTTATCAAACCAGGATCTGTTATTTATCATACCGATTATTTGAAGGAATATTGATCAATCTTTACATTTTTTTCAAAGTGCGTTAATATGGTTGATATTAACGCACTTTGAAAAAAAATTATCTTTTTCAAAGTGCGTTAGCTTGGTCCCAAATTTTAACGCACTTTGAAAATTTTTTTCAAAGTGCGTAATTTTTCAAAGTGCGTTGTAACACTGCTCAGACTTTCAACTGTTCAGTCATTTGGAAAATGTAGGTCACATCCATTATCAAAGACAAGTCTGGTAGTGTGCTTCCTAAGATGTATTTCATGCAAGTTTGGTCAACATAAGGCTTATATATAGTTACTTGGAAATGAGACCTGCGCCAAAAACTTTAAACTGTTCACTCACCCACAGATTTTAGGTCAGATCCAGCATCCGAAGCAAGCCTGGTTGTATGCATCCTTGGATGTATCATCCATGCAAGTTTGCTTAACATAGGGCTTATGATTACTTGGAAATGAAATCTGCTCCAAATACATTAACCTGTTCACTCATCTGAAAAATGTAAGTCAGATCCAGCATTCGAAGCAAGTCCCTTTGTGTGCATCCTGAGGTGTACAGTATCATCCATGCAAATTTAGTCAACTTAGAGCTTATAGTTACTTGGAAATGAGACCTGCTCCAAACCTTTAACCTGTTCACTCATCCAGAGAATGTAGATCAGATCCAGAATCCGAAGGAAGTCTGGCGCCAACACCAACGCCGAGGTTTCTTTTCTTCACTCACTCACTCACTCGGTCGTCCTTAGACGACCAACGACATGTACACGCCAGCTCTTCCAATCGGCCATTAGGGAAGCTAGTTCTTTTGCATCTCTCGTCCTTGTGACACGCTTCAGTGTATCCAAAAATGTGGCCTTGGGTCTTCCTCTTCCACGGCGTCCGTGATTTTGTTCCCACAGTACCAATGATTGGGCGCTGATCTCTGGATGCCGGAAGCAATGCCCAGCTAGCTACATTCTCCTGGAGGCTATTTTGTCACTGACCTTTGGTAGGTTACCATATAGGATCTCGTTGGGAATGTGGCTTGTTCAGTGAATGTCTAGAACCTTACGAAGCATGCGTGTATAGGTTCCATCTAGTGACTTCTCCTGGGCTACTGTTAGAGTCCAGCTCTCGCAGCCATACAGCAAAATAGACTCAGTTGTGGCTATGAAGAAGTGCAACTTGAGATCCCTTCGCATTTTTGAGCGCCATATTCTGGACATCTTGAAAATCTTCGACCCATTCGATTTTGGTGCCATCTAAGGTTTTGAGTGGCGTAGGGTTGTCAGTATTGAAGGGGAGGGCTTTTGTCTTCTTGGCGTTGATACATAGTCCAACCTTCTTACACTCACGCTCTACTCTAGATAACAATTCCTGGGCTTGGACGATTTCATCTGATAGTAAGGAAATGTTGTCGGCAAAATCAAGATCAGTAAGAACTTGTTTTGGGTGCCTGCGGGATTTTCTAGGCAGTATGGTGAAACCCAGTTCCTCTTCATTTCCAGAGATGGCTTTTCTCAGGGCATAGTCCAGTACTATGATTAAAAAGAATGGCGCTAAGGTATCTCCCTGTAAAACTCCAGCGGATATTTCAAACATACCAGTTTCTCCATCAGGAGTTACGATCTTGGCCATGGTATTGGTGTACATCTTTTCGATTGCTCGAAGAAGATTTGGTAGAATTCCATATGCCTTGAGTATGCGAATCATCTTTCCTGTGTGTATGGAGTCAAAAGCTTTCCGAAAATCTATAAAGGTAAAGATTGCTTTCAAGTTATTGGCTTTGACATCTTCAATTATTCGACGGAGGGCAAGAATTTGTGCTACTGTTGTTCTTCCAGGGCGAAAACCATTCTGATTTATTCTGAGACGTAGGTCGATGACACTCCTGATACGATTTAGTATAAGCCGATTGTAAATCTTGGCTATGATGCATATCAAGCTGATGCCTCTGTTATCAGTCTTCGATAGGTCGCCAGACTTGGACACAGTTACAATGTTCATGAGTGACCATGTATCTGGTTTGTCATTGTTGACGAGTGCATCATTACAGAAATCTAAACAAACTCGATCAAGTCATACAGTTTGAAGACTTCCGGGGGAATTTCATCGGGACCTGCTGCTTTGCCTAGCTTCAGGGAGAACTTCACTTTTCTGTATTCAGCCAAAGTGAAGGGTTCATCATTAATGTCGATATCATAAAACACGTTTGGAATTTCCTCCTCAGGCTCGTCTACATCAGGTTGATTTCCTAAGAGATTCTAGAAGTGCGTAAACCATGTGCTGACTCTCTCTTCAGGGCTATTTCCAGATACCTGTCCTTCCTTTTCTTTCTTTCTTTCTACCAGTGATCTCATTTCCATGCCTCTCCATATCTTTGCTCTCCATGTGCAGTTTCAATACCTTGTATCTGTTCTGCTAGTTCTTCTTCTTGTGCCAGCTTGTATGCTTGATAGAGGTTATTCACTGCTTCAGACCAGCGATCTTTGCCCACGTCAGCTTTAGATGACTCATATTGCCTCTGGGCTTCTTGAGCCTTCTGGCGAGCTTCAGAGACTCTGGAGTCAGATGACCTGAGTGATTTCTTGAATTAAGCTCGTTTTGGGAGACATTCTTCCATTGCTTCTTGATTGGCTTTTACAAACTTTTCGTATCTTTCGCTGTTATACTCACATCAGCCATTATCTGAAATCTGTTCTTCACAGCGAATGTGTAATTTAGCTGAAGCTTAGGGTTGCTGGAGAACTGTTTCCAGTCGTACTTGACTTTTTGGGTTGTTTTTGAGGTTCTAAAACTGAGCTTGATCTTCGCAGACACTATCCTATGGTCAGACTTAACTGTGCTGAAGGAGTTGTACGCTTCTGCATTATGTACGCTATTTCTCCATTTTTGACGAACAAGAATGTAGTCAAGTTGTCTCAGTGTGTTGAATGCTCTACATTTGAATGTCCAAAGTTTTCCAGGACGCTTCTTGAACTGTGTGTTTGCTGCTAGTAGACCGAATTCAACGAGAATTTCAGCAAGATAGTTTCCACTTCTGTTTGTTTGCTAGTGAAATGGATGAGGTACATATTCAGGGCCCAGTCTAGCATTGAAATCTCCCATGACTGCAAGGAAGTTGTGGGCAGGGACATCCTGGAGTACGTTTCTTAGCCCTGTGTAGAATTCCTCGATGACAGATTCCTCTGCACAGTTTGTAGGTGCATAGATAACTATGATGGTTGTTAGAGGATTTCCATCAAATTCAGCTACTAGTATTCTTCCACTCTTAGATGGTACCACTTTCAGTAAAGATTTTCTAGCTTTCCTTTCTAAGAGGAGTCCAACTCCACCTTGTGGAGCTTGGGATTTGTTTTTTCCATCCAGATGAAGTAACTAAAGTGCTTGTGTCAAACTTGGTGTACTCAATTGGGTCAGAGTTAATGATGCGATGCTCTTGCACACCGAGAATTCCTATGTATTGCCATTGGCTGCAATGCTGTAATTCCCACCTCTTATCCTCATCAAGTAGTGTGTTGACGTTGTAGGTTGCAATGTTAGTTATTTCCTTACAACTTAAAAATGCCTTCATACGTCCACTGTTCTCAGATGCTACCCCCCGAGAGTTCCGGTTTATGGCGGCATCTTCATTCCGTCGCTCTTGAGAGCGACTAGCTTCAGTATCGATGGCAGGGTTCCTGCTCACTCCCGGAGCTGGAAGTATAGGATTTGACTTAAAGGACGTGTTCAAGGTTGGTTTACGAAGCGATAATAATTCACATGGGTCGCTACTCCTCAAATGAATACTTTGGGCCGAATTGAATTCTTTTATTGATATCATTATTATCCATAAAATCAGCAGCAAAATTACGATAGACTAGTGTATGTTTTATGTTCTATTGATTTTATGATATATCGTTTACATGTATATATAATTATTGTGATAATTACGGTTTAAGTTTTTAGCAAAAATTTTACCCCCTGTAAATTTTCTTCCCAAATCAATGAGGCGTTAATTGATTGATTGTGTGTTGTTTAACGTCTCTCTCGAGATTTTTTCACTCATATGATATGGAGACGCCATCACTTGCTAGTGAAGAGCTACAATTTTTTTCCTATACCCGACACTCAGGGCTATTGAGCAATGAGGGATCTTTTTCGTGCCAGCACCTACTGCTACACGGACCTCGGTTTATACGATCTCATCCGAAAGACCGGTCTCCACGTACCACAGTGGGATTCGAACGACGTATGGATCAACTTACGTCGCGACTCTAGAGCAGACGCTCTAACCACTGCGCCACACGGGCGACAGGGTTAATTGATGTTATTAATCTTCAGAATTATACAGTCAATCTGATTGGTTTAGAGCATGTCACGTTAAGTGTGATAATTTGTGATATAATATCTCCCTCACGCGCAAGATGACAACTGTTGTCACCTTCAGATGACAATGAAATAGCTTATAGACATTGTTGCAACTGTGTTGTCTTTGAATGAAATTACAGTTGGTTTAAGCGAGATAACTCTTATTAATAATGAACTGCTAAATATGCAGGATCGGTAAACAATAAATTCTATTGTTATACCCTTATAAATATCCTTCTATATATTTATTACTAATAAAAAGTCCAACAAAAGAAATGTTTATTACGTCGGTCTCACAATTTCACTATTGACCGGTCTTACATAAGAATTGTTAGACCGCAACGTCACTTGTCTGTTACGTCACAATTAATAATCATCGTTCAATATCGGCGACGCGAAAATAGCCGAAGTTAGGAGCTATTTTAAAAGAGTTGTTGCTAACAGCAAGGTAAGGTAGAAGGGAAGCGTATGTTTTGTGATAAATATTTTTTGTGATATAATAGATTTATAATTGATTTTGTTCTTTCTCAGCTTGACGTTTTATATTTACTGAAGAAGCCATAATTTTCCATATAAAATAATTGATAGTAAAGCGTGTATTGATAAAATTGATCAATCTTAAGTGAGCAGTGAAGGGTATAACAAAACAGTTATAACTTGGGATTCGGGCAACATATGATTTGTTGGACCTGAAGATGAAAATGTTGCCCTTGGCCTGCGGCCTCGGGCAACATTTTCACCTTCAGGTCCAACAAATCATATGTTGCCCTCATACCCAGTCAATAACTGTATAATGATGACGTGAAATTGTCTGTCGACATATTTTGAAAGTATGGAATCAGATAAGAGAAGGGGACAACAAGAGGTTTAATTACAATTTTCTACTCTATTTAATTGATAATTTAGATTCTTCAGGATAACAAAACTACTATAGACTGTTTCGAAGGGAGACATCACCAATGACAGAAAAAGTGAGCAAGCTCACATACCCCACGCTCCCCCAAAACTCAAAGTGCTGAAAATCCCGGAAAAATGAAAGAATCGGAATTTCCTGGTAATATGCACATCTACATATTGTGTCCTAAATATCTGCAAAGTTTGACGAAATTCTGTGCAGCGGTTTATGAGGAGTTGCGCTGACAAACTATTCATCTCTGTATTCAAGCTATCCCCAAAAATCTAAGTTGTAAAGTGCCGAAATTCCCAGAAAAATGAAGGAATTGGAATTTCCTGGTAAAATGCACATCTATACATTGTGTCCTAAATATCTCCAAAGTCTGACGAAATTCTGTGCAGCGGTTTATGAGGGGTCGCAATACAAAATGTTCATCTGTATATTCAAGGTATGGTCAAAAATCTAATTTGTTCAAAGTGCCAAAATTCCCAGAAAAATAAAGGAATCGGAATTTCCTGGTAATATGCACATCTACACTCTGTGTCCTAAATATCTCCAAAGTTTGACGAAAATCTGTGCAGCGGTTTATGAGGAATTGCGCTGACAAAATGTTCATCTCTATATTTAAGGTATGGCCAAAAATCTAAGTTGAAAAGTGTGGAAATTCTAAGAAAAAATAAAGGAATCGGAATTTCCTGGTAATATGCACATCCACATATTGTGTCCTAAATATCTTCAAAGTTTGACGAAATTCTGTGCAGCGGTTTATGAGGAGTTGCGCTGACAAACTGTTCATCTCTATATAAAAGGTATGTCCAAAAACCTAAGTTTTTAGTGCGGAAATTCCCGGGGAAAATAAAGGAATCGGAATTTCCTGGTAATATGCACATCTACATATTGTGTCCTAAATATCTGCAAAGTTTAACGAAATTCTGTGCAGCGGTTTATGAGGAGTTGCGCTGACAAACTGTATAAAAGGTATGACCAAAAACCTAAGTCTTTAGTGCGGAAATTCCCGGAAAAATAAAGGAATCGGAATTTCCTGGTAATATGCACATCTACTTTCCAAGTTTGCAGACTTCTCGGGAGGGGATATTTGTGACAGTGAAAGATAAAGTGGCACCATACCTAAAGTTTGATTATCAACAGCAAAAACAAGTAGAGCTTTTTAAAAAAGCTTACCGTCTTTAGCAACGATCTTAAACAATAAACTGATCTACACCTATCAGGCTGTTTAATTCTTTTGAATTTTGTAGTTTTACATTAGCTTTTTACTGGCATTAGCCCTACCACAGTTGTCGCTGGGTCATCTCCGTAAACTTTGACTGGCCGAGAGCTTTCGTCAAACCTCGGCTGATTCCATTCCCTTCTTCAAACAAGAAAGGGGAAAAGAATAATAACAAATTGTAAAGCCTGCAAGCAATAAAAATCAGATTTTATTTATAATGAAATTAAAAAGACCTTTTTATTTATTGCTATAAAAAATACCATGTTATTAAGAATTAATTACTGCTGATTTTGTTGTTCGTTTTGTCATTTTTTTAAGATTGAAAAATCTTGCAAAATTGTTAAGTCGTACGAAAATTAGATCATCAGAAAGTTATCTCCCTTGCCTTGAACAGCATTTCAACCAATGAAATAATTGAAAATTTTCTCATCATGCAATTTCTACCAATCACAAAAGAGAGGAAGTGCATAGTCCGAAGACTGTAAAAAAACTTCAACTATACAATACCGTCTTCCAAGGAAGACGGTAATAAGAGCTTATAAAAGCACAATTTAGAGTCTGAAATTAGAAACTGAAGAATAAGGAGTTAAACGTCAAACGAGGATGATTTGCCAAACTTGTAAGAGATAACCCATTTATGCACTATAAAGAGGTGTAGAAGACAAGGAGACGAAATCGTTCACGTGACACAAAGAGAGCAAGTGATAAAGCAGAAACGAAATTTAACTCAATAGAGTTTTGTTAAGAAATTCAGCATAAGGTATACACGTACACTATGCTAGGAAATTTGAGTGGATTGTTACTCTTGAATACTACTTCCTAGTAAAGGAAAGGTTTCTTTCTGTAAATCAAATGGAATTATACAGAGTTCAGTCGAGAGGAAAACGTAAGAAGTCCAAGGAAATATTTTCTAAACTTGGACATGCGACCAAAAGAGTCAATAACTTAGCCTATATCCTTCAGTTGGTAACGTCTTACAAGAGATTTTCGCAAAAGGGGTAATTTATTGACGATCTGCTTAACTTAGAAATCAAAGAAGTATCAAACAAAGTCGTCCAAAGACGAATGAAGTTATCAGACATCAAATCTGACCGGCTAAATCAAGAGACAAAGAATTACATTGTAAATTGACCAGTGTCAGTTTTATATTTATATAAAAAGATCAGATATGGAGCTGAGAATGGCCTCCCTGCTCCTTGAGAAGATAGAGGAATGTAGGATTAAGGTTACTCAACTAAAGAAAAAAAAAGACATTTTGCACATAAGCAGAAAAAGAATTAGAGTTTGACATCTAAACCCCTCAAATTTCTACATCTCAACGGATCTTATTGGTGTGGAAAACAGGGTCACGTAAGTCTTTATTGTAAGAATCAAAAAACTAGTCAAAACATTAATTAAAAGAAAAGATTGATTGATTGATTGTATATTGTTTAACGTCCCTCTCGAGAATTTTTCACTCATATGGAGACGCCACCACTTGCCGGTGGAGAGCATCAAATTTTGTCCTATACTCAGAAAGGGGTTTTCTTCGTGCCAGCACCTACTGCGACACGGAGCCTCGGTTTGTACGGTCTCATTCTCCACGTCCCACAGTGGGATTCTAAGGATTGACTCCTTACTTCGCGACTCTAGAGCAGACGCTCTAACCACTGCGCCACGCGGGCGACTTAAAAGAAAAGAGGGACGAACCAATACAGTCAAGATGCAAAACTTAAGGACTTAGGAAAGGGTCATGGCGAATAAAGGAATTCTCTTCTTTGAAGACTTTACGTCGCGGGTTCGAATCCCACTGTGGGACGTAAAGACCTGTCCTTCGGATGAGACCGTATAAACATAGAACCGAGATCCCGTGTCGCAGTAGGTGCTGGTACGAAAAAGATCCCTCCCTGCTCAATGGCCTCGAGTACCGAGTATAGGACAAATTTTGCAGCTCTCCACCGGCAAGTGGTGGCGTCTCCATATGAGTGAAAAATTCTCGAAAGGGACGTTAAACAATAAACGATGAATCAATCAATCTTTGAGAAAAGCCTGTCTGACAAAGATTTGAATTAGACGTGAAAAGAACGTAATAAAATGTTCAGCACGACAAAAGTAAACCATCGTCCAATTAACCTACTGGTGGATACTGGAGCAACAATAAGTATTATTGCGTCCTCAATTAATAAAGAGTTAAAAATCGTCTCTTAATTGAACAGAACACCCGAATGACGCCCTGTGTAGGAGTTCTCATTTTATCAGATGATGTAAACCATATCTATCTTGAAACTATAGCTAGAAAAACTACTCAAATAGACAAAGTAATGAGTATTCAACCCTTAGTCTCCGGGGATAGAGCTAGCAAAGAAGACAGGTGTTCCAAATGAGGGTTTGTGTCGACTTTTGACAGCTTGAGCAATGCTTTGACAATAAAGGATGCATATACACTGCAGCGCATTGACGAGTCGTTAGACTACTTAGCTGGTTCTATTTAGCTCGGTATCTGCGTACTGGCAAGTCGAGGAGCCATAAGACAATCCAAAGACAAGCTTTTTAACAGAGAGATCTTTATGAATTCCAAACCACGCTATTTTGGTCTCAAATACGTATACGCCCCAATAATGTTTGAGAGACAAATGGAAACAGTGATTGCTGATCTACAGTTATACAGATTTGCTTGATTTACCTAGATGACGTAATTGTCCTTGGTAAATCATTGGAGAGCATGTCAGTATATGAGTCAAATATGTTCATTATTTGCGAGAGAAGTGGAATACCTAGAACATGAAATCTCAAGCAAAGGTGTATTCAGACTATTTACAGATTATTCACAGATCCACTGAAGGTTAAAGGAATTATATGGATTTGTCTTTGCATATAATAGGAACTAAAGTTTGGTCACTCCTACGACTTTGTGGTAAATTCAAAAGATTCACTTTAGAGAAGTCACTTACTCACCCGACTTAAAAAAAACATGGTTTTCTTAAGAATGAAGATTGCCAGGTAGAGTTGGAGAAACTGAAATGGAATATAAGGAGATAACGAACAGTACTCAAGCTCAAAAGTCCATTAGATAATACAAACTAGTAGCAGAGCAAACACGGACCTTTAAAACATCAGAGGTGAGATCAGGTGCCATCCCCTGCCACCCGGTCACACCCTCCATGTTCTCCTTGTCATGATCGGGAAATAATGGAAAAATCTGTCGACAATTCATAGTGTAAAATATTGGCCAAACAATTAGCATGAAAAACGACAGTCAGCATTTGACTCAATGATAAATTGTACATGTATTTGCTGACAGGTCATTGTATCGATCATAGAACTTACGAAATGATGACTTTAAAGGAAACTGCTGTTATTCTTGCTTGATCAACTTGTTTTTCAATAATTTACCTCCTTTTTAGAAATTGCACATACGTAGAAAATGCTCTTGCGTATGGAATCAACTGACAGATATGAACCCCGTTTGCAAGTGATGAAGATATATTGCTGCATATGTAAGGGAAGTTGAAAAATTAAGTCAACACGTTTATCATAAAGCTTGGTTGTTAGATTACCATTAACGTTTTTTTCAAATAAAATATCGAAATATGTTTAATTGATTGTATGTTGTTTGACTCCTTACTTCGCGACTCCAGAGCAGACGCTCTATCCACCGCGCCACGCAGGCAACTATCAAAATTTTAAACAGATGTGTCAGACAGTGGAATCTTTTATCTCAAATTCAAAGAGTCTTTGATGAAATCACCAATCTTGATATATACATACATGTATTTCTCAAAGCTATCCATACCTGATTCAGACATGAGTATCGAGGCTATCTCAGAAGATAGTAGGTACTTTAATATTGCTTATGCGAGTAGAACATTGTCCAAACCAGAGAGAAAAAAAGTTGTCATTCACGAAGTTACTTGCAAGTTTTTTTTTACATTGGAAGAATTTAAGACATTTTTTGCTTAAAAGAAAGTTTACAATTAAGACCAACTACTATAGTATAGCTTACCGAAAAGGCTGATGCGGTTTAAAGGTCCAGAAGGCCAGCTTCCTCGATGGATCGAAGTCATCAGATGTGATGAATCGCATAGCATATCGGTCATCCTTGGAGATACCGCGAAATGCAGGAAGATATGGTAGCTATGATGACAGCAACAAAAGCAGTAGACAAAGAAAAGTACTTCTCAGGTTTTGAGCCTCGAAAACTTCAAGGTGGAGATTCAAGTATCATTACAGTTAAACAATGGTTGTCTAAAGGTTTGTACAGTTAGCACAAAAACAAAGTTGATGAGAGTGATAACTCACGCAGTTCGTCAGATTAGCCTTAAAGTAAAGAGTTTGAGTTGAACTATAAAAAATCCAAACTACTATTTTGATGAGTTTGAACCGAAAAATTATCAAGTTTCGTTATCATAATCTTATATAATAATCAGCCTTCTTACTACTCCGACTTACAGCGAGACAAAACGTTATGTTTAGCTTGATGTGAGCAATTTAGCAAGAGAAAAGGACTAGACTAAAACAAAATTAAATGTGCTCCAATGCAATTAGATGAAACAGACTGACAGTGACCAATGGAGAGAACTGTGACTGGCATATATAAGGTGAGTTGCCAGGGATTACAGAAGGTTATAGAAATATACTCGTTGTATCAGATAACTACACAAGATGGGCCTACAGTTACATGTATTTTAATAAATATTGAAGTTTGCACTGTTACAAAAATCATTGTCGAAGTACAGTACTCAATCCATTCTGAACAGGGTAGGCAATTCGGGAGTGTGATGTTAGAAAAACTTACACAACACCATACAAAGCATCATCTTCAGTCCACGGACATGGTTTAGCGGTTCAACAAAACATTATTGGACATGCTAAACGCAATGTGAATGAGCGACATACATACTGGAAAAAGCAGCTTCCCTACTTGCATAATGATGACGCATCGCTCATCTGAACACGAGACAACAAAATATTCCCCGAGTTTACCGATGCTGGGAATGTAGGCAGCAACTCCTCTTGACATGTACCTTTTTTCGAAAGCCATCTATTCTCATATTGATAAAATACCACAATTAAGATTGAAAGCTTAAAGACCATTTAAAAGAAGTGCATAAAGATTTTTTGTTAACATACAAGATCTGACATATGCTAAGACAGACACGCTGTCCTAAAAGGAAAGTCGGCTGAGAAGATTACAAAAACAGGTGACCTTTCTAACTTCACTTAACGTATAAGTCTTTTGCCAAAACCAACCAGTTATTGGTAAGGTCCATTTCAAGTACTAGAAAAATACTCTGATATAAATATCAAATTGGATTGTGGACACAGAACCTCATGTTATCCATGTTGAGACCTATATGATCTCAATTGATCTCAGGGGAAAGAACGAATTTAAGTGAAGATTACTCGGATAGGAATGCACAAAATAAGTCAGAATGTCAAAATGATTCAAATAACTCTGGTAAATATCAAATTGGAATTCGTGTCCCCCGCTTAGGGAAAAAGTCGGAATTTGTAGAATTATTAAATGTATACATGTATACTGAAGCAAACAAAATACATGTATGTCAATATGCATATAAAGATTTGATTGCTTATTCTTTATTATGTGTATAGAAGATTCTTTTTACATGGAATATTTATCACACTGTAATGATGATTTTATGAGTTTGTACAAGCCAGACCTCATAATTTTTTTTTATTTCACATGCTGAATACTATCATTTAGCAAATAAAAAAAGAAAATGGATCAATCTCACATATGAGGCGAGAGACATACCACTACACACGGAACTGCTTTACCCTGGAGAAAATTATATGCAAAGATTAAGTCACATACATGCATTCATATATTTACAATCGATATTGTCAAAATTTTACACAATGCATGGTGTCTAATTTAACCTTTATTAAACAGTTCTAATGTAATAAGAATATAAAGTCCACCGAGAACCTGTTTTATAACTCTCAAAAAATAGCGACATGTAATACAATAAATACTAATAAAACAAACGGGGCGGGACACTTTGAGAGGGGTGAGAGAGGTGGGAGTTTTGGTATAAAATTACATTGCAAAAGCTCAAAATCCTCTTGAAATATCCATAATATAAATTTACATCCTTGAACTTTGACCTCAAAATAAATAGGCCAAAATGTACATTGCAGTAATTACGCAACACAGTCAACTTTGCGATTATGTCACTCAAAATCAATGGTATTAAAGCATATGTAAAATTTCATTGCGAAAGCTCAAAGGGTTCCGACTTGGAAACGAAAGCGTCTCTTTATCACTTTTCAAGAAACAAACACAGTAACAGATTTTATCATGGTTATCAACCGACTTTCTCTTTGAAAACATTATGGTTACTAGTATCCAGAGAAAACCTTAGAAATGTCGGATGTAAACCTTTTCCATATCAAGTTGGGAAGTTCTGCTTAATCACGTTCTTCAGTGCGTTCATAAACAGTAAAAAATAAGTTCAAGTGTGGAAAGTGTCGTGTGTTTCACTAAGAAACTCTTTGAACAGACACAATATACTAGGCATCCAGATAAATAAAACAGAAAAATGACAACTTAAGGTTCCAGCAGCTATCGACAGTCTTTTTGATGAATGAGTGACTTTCGAGTGATACAAGTCCTAATAACAACAGGGGACATACATGTAAGCACCGTTGTATCTGATAAGACGACGTAGAATCTGGTGAGTGTTCATCTCCTACAGACCTTCTGCCTCTTTGTTTCCGCTGCTTTCCACAAACAAAAATATATATATATTAAAATTTATTATGCTTAAATATCAAGCAGCTACAATTACATGTAATATCAATATAATGAACATGTATAACATTGGCATAGTAAAAGTGTGGCACGTAAAATTATTAAAGGCAGTTATAACAGCATAAAGTAAATCTCCATAACCAATATGCTATATGTATTACAATCAATTCAATATTTAGAAAATATTCATGATTTATAGAGAAAATGTTAATCAGCGATAATATTATAAATGCATACTGGATGTAAACATTAACTTCCACGTAATGGAAATTTCCTGAGGTTTATGTTCTGTAGGAGTACCTGTTGTAGGGAGAGGAATAACGTGATGTGTAGGCTGACGATGATGACGATGCTCCTGACGAGTACCTGCTCTCATTGAGCGTGGAGTACCTGGAACTCCCGTAACGATCCTCGGACAGGGCGGATCTATTAGTACCACCTGGAGTGGACCGTGTGTATACCGACTCTGTATAGGACGAGACGTCACCGTAGTTCTGGAGCTTGTTGGAGATTATATTCTCGTCTCTGCTACTGAAGGAAAACTTGGCCACCACTCCTTCGTCGACCTCCTTGACTTTGATGACGGGTTCGGACCTGTACCCAGAATATGTTCGATATGATTTGTATAGGTTTTCCAGTTTCCCTTCTTCTTTTGTTTGTTGTATGTCATTAATATTTTGATCCAACTCTTCAGTTCGTTTCTCCATTTCAGAAAGTTTCTCTTTCAATTTATTTTTCTCGTTTCCTACCTCTCTTTTTGCCATTTGGAGAACCTCTTGTTCTCTTTCCTCCAAAATCTTTCTAAGTTTTGCAAAGGATTCTTTGATTTCATCAGACACCCTGTTCTCTTCCTTGTCGAGATTTTCTATCGTATCCTCCACAGCCTTCTGTTTCTTCTTGATTGCTTCTTTTTCTGAATCCATTTCTTTTATTGCTTTATCAAGAACTGGAATATATTTCTTTATCGCACTTTCAAAATCTACTACAGTGTGTCCAAGAGCCTCCTGGTGATCTACAATAGTACAGTCTCGACAAATGTACGTACTACAAAGTTCACAAAAGAAATTGATAGGTTGAAATCTGTGTTGTGGGCAGAAATCAGTTGTGTATCTTTCAGTATGGCTGATAAAATCGATAAGCTGAATGACCCTATGGTCAGTTGGTAGTTCCCTTATCCCGTCCTGGGTGATGATGAAATTAGTACGACACGTGGGACAAATGATAGTTACGGCAGTTGGAAGTTCACTGTATGCAGGAGTGAGGCTCTTCCGGTACTCAGCCTCTTTTTGAAAAATAAGAAGAATGCATTGAAGACAAAGGGAATGATGGCAGTGTAAGAGTTTTGGAGGACGTTCTATATCGTCATACAGCTCTCGACAGATAAGACATTTAAGGAATGTCTCTATGAAACTGTCTTCATCAACGATAATGTTCCGTTGGTCCTTCAACAGTTTCCTCTTCTGTTCAAAGTCAAACTCTGTCCGTAAAGACTGCAACGTGGCTTCTGTAAATGAACAAAATGTAGAAAATTTGAACCCGACATAGTCATTCCATTCAGGTTAGTACATAATACTAATTTAGAGACAGAGAGAACAGTAAATATCTAAAATTAGGATGTTATACTAGTATTGTATATGTTGATTGTTTTTCAGGGATTTAGAACTAAAATAAAATGAAAGTGAGAAAAAGATGGGTAATGACGTGAAAAGCAGGATCGAGGGATGAATAAGGTGGAATGTGGAACGTGAATGCTGAATCGAGAGGTGAATAAGCGAGAGTGTGGAACGTTAATAACTGAAGATGTACGGGGTGGGGAATACAAAAATGAGGGTATGTAGATGGATTTAGTTTGATATCTGAAAAGGGCTAACATGAAATGTAAAATTTATCGCAATGTGTCTATCTACGACATATTTAGGCCTTCAGTAATTTTTTTACAATAGCGTTAGACATTAAAATTGTTAAAATCAAAAGAAACGCTTAGTTTTGTAACTTATAGTTTTACCATTGTAAACCCTTTGATGTACCTCCACCCAGTAAATCTAAAATTTACAACATAATACATGCACTACATTTATTGAAACTAAACAATATTTAAGTAAACACAGACATTCACACATTAAATGAAGACATGTGATCATTTGACTCTTTTCTAGGGGAGACTAGCTACTAAGCGCTAACAATGGTACGCCAGTGTATAGCATGCTGTAGCATATATAAAATATGATAAAAGAGTAGGAAATAAATGTATATACAGAAAAGGGTTTTCCGAGGATGAGGGGATAATCAGGTATGGATTTGGTCTTTAAGAGATCAATTTAGTTTGACTAAATGTTAGATTGGCATTATTTCGAATGATGCAACTTAACATTTAATTTTATTTAATTCAATTATTTTCTTTAATATTTTCATTTGAATATATATTATTATATTTTATTCCATCACACTAATTTGAAAATGATTACATATTTGTTCATCTTCTCTATCAATAAAATCAAAATCTACTTTATACCTTCAGATGCCGTTCTTTTTCGTATTGGCGAGACAACCTTGGAGGATTCTGCTATAGCAGACGCCATGATTGTGATGATGTCACTTCCGTTTATTCTGTAAAATCGAGAGGGAGCATTTTATCACGCTTTTTAATTGCCTTTCATCTTTCTAGTCATTTTCATATATACTAAAAATATCTGTAATTCTATCTCGTTAAAAATATTCCCTTTTTTCTAAACGAACTCTTACGATAGTTCATATATTTTTCTTTGAGTGGTGCAATGGCCTAAAATAAATAAGCTTTATTTTGTTTTGTTTTTTTATATATGTACTTTCATCTGAATTGGTACTTCCATGTAATTGATTAAATTGATTAAAACAAACATTAAGCCATGCAATTTTAACAAATATTTTTGTTGAGACACAATTTATATGTTTTCACAATAACGTAGGTTAGAAAAGCAATAAAGAAGAAGCCAATACAACAGAGAAAGAAACAACCAGTCCTGAAGGCGAGTATGACTGATACAACAGAAGCTAAGCCGAATACATTTATACAAGTATATATATATAAACTGGAAACGCAAAACAATACCATAGGTTATATATATCATAGAATAATGTAAAATCGACAAAACTGTTTAATACAGTAAACTATATTATTAGGTATATTCCATCAAAATGAATATAAAAATTCAAAGTATAGGCCTACATAAAAAATACAGATTTTAAAACACTTCAGACTCATACCTGGGTATTTAAATGTTTATATTTACTGTAAGTTATCACATTAGTCTGATTATATTCTGCCTGATTGCATATTTATATTGAAAGTAGTCATATCTAAGTGTATTCCCTGGTGTATAATTGCTTGTTAGAATATTCCGGGTATTAGACATACCCTTTTCTACAAACACACTCTATTAGCCCGAGGACCAAAAGACTCTTTAATGATAATGGTCAAGGACTGATACAGGGTATACTGATCGAAGCCTAAGAGTATAATATGGAAAAAGGTATATGTTTTATGCATGTTTATTACATACTTTGTAACAAAAGAAACCACACTTTTGCGTAAACACAAATAAACACTGACTATGGCTTGTTATATCAAAGAACATTTTAACATTAAGATAATGTGAAGAAGAAACTGCATTCACGTAACGTAAACAGCTTCTCTTTTTTACGGATTAACCTGCAAGGGGTTGGATATAAATCTTTATCCCATGTTTACCCCTTTATCCCGTGGATATAGCTCATGTGATATCGTTTTTGTATCCCACAGTTGTGACATCACTATGGGTTTTGCATTAGCATAATGAAGTAAAATAAACTGAAGTCCTATATATATACAAAAAACTGTGTAAAACATTTTTGATATATTGTAATGTGTAAAGAGGAATATTATATCAAATGTTATCCAGAAGCTTCTATATGTGAAGTCATAGGTAAGCATATAATGGCAATGTCCATGTTTTGCAATGGGAAACCTAAAATATGTGTCAAATAAAAAAGTAAAATAGGAGGTGCACAATGGCAATATGTAATAAAGATTCTGTGAAAGTTTCATTAAATTTCACTACTCGTTGTGTGTTTACTATATACCCTCCCACTTTTCAAGGGTATAAAAAGAATCTCCCCTCGCCAAGGCTCGAGGATAAAAATCACACAACTCGTTGGATAAAAATCATATCCTACTACAAATCATGGGAGATCCTATATGTATCAGTCCTACAGGATCCAAATCAAACCTACAGGATCCATATCAGTCCTACAGGATCCGTATCATATCTGCAGATTCTGCTTTAGCCTCACAGGATCCATGTCAGCCCTAAAGGATCCATATCAAACAGGATCTGTATCAGTCCTACAGAATCAATATCAAACCTAAAGGATCTGTATCAACCCTAGTAAACCTACAGGATCTGTATCAACCCTGGAGGCTGATGCAACTATTGTGACAACTACACACAATTTTTTTTTTTATATTTAAGTGTTTGTTATGTGTATCTAATTTTTAATTTTGAATTGTTGAAATCTCTTTCACATTTTTCTTGCACAAGCACAGCCAATAATATGCTCAAAACATAAAGTGGCTAGCCCCAGGACAGCCAGTCTTTTATGTACAAAGGACAAAGGATTAATTGTGTGCACCACGATTAAAAGAGTAAATACTAGTATTCAACACAACTTTAAACCCACATGTAACAATCTGGGTACAAAGTTCTGTGCCCCAAAACACTTCGTATATATTTTTATATATAATTTAAAAATATTCTTTTGATAATTTAGATGGATTTAAGTTGATCAAGCAGGGTTTTATCGATTTTCTTCGTATCTTGTAAGTGATGATATAGGGCTTCTAGAACAAAAGGAGAATGTTTTTGGGAACGTGCACTTTGTACCCAGAAAACCAAAGACATCCAAGGCCCTTGAATTGACAACAGACATTGTATTGTGTTTTCTGTACCTTGCATGTGTATATGTTATGGTCATAAATCATTCATGCAAAAGTAATATCGATTTACTGAATGTGTGTGCAGGATGTGCAGAATGCAAACAATTCAAGGATGTGTGTGCGGGACTGTGTCCCAGTTTCTCGATATTCGTATTTATCGTGCTAACTGGGCACCTTGGGATCTAACTTCATAATTTATGCAAGCAAGCAAGCATATTAAAACATGACCTTTTTTCACTTTTCCCCAGGTAAAGTTAACCTTTCTCTCAGTAAAAACAGGTGTCTCCATACTGTATGATGGAGATTTAAATCGAACGTGAACACTGTATAATCTGTATATCTGAAAAGTCATTGCTTAGAAACTAATTTTGTCATCTTCTCCGTCTGCAAATGACAAATCGCTGAGTGAAATATTAGAATGCAACACAGTAATGAGTACGGTCTCTCGTCTTCATTATTCTACTCGGTGGAGCGGACGTGTTGTGACCCCCGGGGAAAATTTGTCCGTGTCGTCAATTTAGTGAAGACTGTGTAATTAATAATGTTGATGCTCTACCACTGTAAACTGATTCAACATCACGAATCTTACCTTTGTAAACTTGTCCCGTGTTTATCTCAGGGCGGATTCCCTATGCGATGATTTCACTCCATTTTCTTTGTCGTCTGGTACGATTTGATTGACTGCGCGCGCGTGGAATTCGTACCCATCCGGTTTTTATCGATAACATAAATTATACGCATGCGTTTAAAGTTCTTTCTAGTTGCGTAGGGCCACATTCTTGTATTTAAATATGTATACTTAATTTTAAATCTCTGGGGAGTGTTTATTGTCTATTCCATACAAAGCCGATACGTAATCTTTACGCCTCGGTGCCTCTGCGAGTGTGGGGGCACCGTAAGGTACATGTATATTTATGTCATTCAAAGGCGACAAATTTCAACCAGTTAATAACTTCAACAGTTCAATGCAGGTATTCTGTGCAACTTTGGTGTCACTGCATCTCTGTATTTTGAAGAAGGCTATAGTGCTCAGTTGTTTAGTAGCTTACCAAACTTAAACATCAATTACATTATTTTTTATAGTATTCTTTTATGATTAAAAACATTCATATCAACATTTTGTCATGCTTGGCCATAGTGGTTGTCTTACTATAAATGAATCTTGCCAATGTCCTCATGATCTAAGTGCAGCACATTATCAGCACACCATTACAAACAAATTCATTTTTTGTCGATGATAGCACTGGATTTCTTCTTTTTACTGTATTTTCTTGATCATTATTTTCCCCAATTTTAGATAATCTAAAATTCATTTCGATAAGTCATGATTAATATGTCCTTTATTCCAAACTTCAGATATACCGAGGTATGTAAGGAAAAGGACGGTTTATTGTTCAAATTGTTTAATTGGGTTACAGAAAAGCATCATAGTGGCAAGCATATCCCTGGAATTACAAAGCTAATTTGATACACATCTTAAGGTCAGATGACACGTATTATAATTCCCCCCAAGAATTTGTGATTGAAGTATTGTTGCTTTAACAAGATTCCTCACAAAAAATAAAGATACCTTGCTCTTTAATCAGGCATTTGTTCAAGATACCGGAGGAGGACATTTACTAAATAACCCTGATAGATATTGTACTTGAATTGCAGAGATTACAGTTTTTTATGTTTATATTTTTACGACATTTTAAAAAAAAAGTTATAAGACAATAATAATGAGAAAGATATTTGGTATGTTGCGATGAGATAGAAAGTTAGATATTCAAGGAACGTGTCGTCAGGCCTTAAGTAAAAAGACAAATGTGTCATAGGATGATTGAATCAAAATTTCTACAATCCAGCTGTGAATATTTCTCTCTGAAGTCTAGATTATAAAATATATTGTTCACAAAACTGATGTTATAATATGTGATAATATCTATCAAGCTTCGTTCACTTTTCTTGTAAAATAAGTGAATTTAAAAGTAATCACAGGAAAAATGAATCCAAAAAGCAAAAAATATAAAACAGTGAATGTATATTATATACATGTATAACTCATTACATATGCCATATGAAAGACTTTACCAAAAGGTAGATATAAAAACAATAAACTGGACAAAAGGCAACCTTAATATAAGATTTTGTATCTCAATACCTGAGGTAATAGTTATTCTATATTTATTATACAAGTAATTCATTACTATATACCAATAAATTAAGCTAAAATGACTATATTGAATTGTTCTAAAATGTTTATGGAAAATAATACCAAGATAAAAAGAATGATCATGAGTGAAGCGGAAAAAAAGCACCACCTTCTTTTGCCAAAAAAAAAAAAAATAAATAAATAAAATAGACAAGAGCTTTTGCTTATTGCAAGTATTGTGGAGATTATGCATTTTTAAAAGTGACGTCACCAAAGTTAGATATGTAATGCCTTATGTTGTTTTCCTGTCGGCTGTTAAACTGAAAACTCACGGCAAAGTCTCGAATTGACCGAGAAGGACCTTGCACTGTGACTTTCTCCATCAGAGCTTCACGTGCTGACTGATGGTTTGAAAACATCGCGGAAATGTTTTTGTTATCTTTGGCATTCTGCAACTTCAGCCTCTCAGATTTGAAAGTTTCCTCACGATTTAAAGCAAGTTCTAACTGATCAGAAATCTCCTGTCGCTTTTTATCGATCTCGTGCTCTGCTGCCGAGTAAAGTTCTCTTTCACGTTCATCAATTGCGTCACGAATTCGATCAAACGTCTGCCTGATCTGTACTCCTAGCTCCTTTTGAATCTGCTCCAAGTTGTCCGAGGCCTTCTCCAAAGCCATTCGTTTGTCATGCAAGACTTTCTCTTCGCTTTCCATCTCTGTCAATGTTTCATCTAGAACAGGTACGTACTTATAAAGGGCTTCTTCAACATTCATGACAACGTGTCCATTTTTCTCTTTATGGTCAATCACTGTACAGTCTCGACACACAGGGGCAATACAGGGCTCGCAGAAGAAATTCAGAGGTTGCATTTGGTGTTTCTTGCAGAAAGCTACATCAGTCTTCCCCGTACATCTGACAAACGCTATTAATTCCCTCACTGTATGGTCGTTTGGTAACCGTAAAATTTCGGCTTCTGACGCAATCAGCCCCTCGCGACAAGTTGGGCAAGAAATTTTAACCGCCACGGGCATACTACGAAACGCTGACGTGAGATTACGCCGAAACTCGCCCTCCACACGGAACATCTGCTTCAGACAGTCCAGGCAAAATGTATGGTGACAAGGTAGCATTTTGGGTATCTTTTCATCCTCGTCAAACGTTTCCCTACATATCAAGCATTTCAAGAAGGTGTCTTCGAAGCGTTCCTCGTCAAAGACAAGATTCTTCTTGTTATTTTTCTCTGGATCTGGAATGATCGCCCCCGTCTCCATTGGTTGGTTGAACCCTACAGTTAAAGAAAATTATTTAATGTGGTGTCTACATCTAATGCAGTTTACCGAGTTAAGAGCTTCTAAAGGAACACAATTCATATACATGTATGTTACATACTAGTATTAGACGATAAAAATCTAATATACACCATCACTACCCATAAACCACACATAATTCTCCCAGTCCCTTGGGAGAAAAAACAAAATTTATTATGATTCTCTAATCTGTTATGATTGAAAGTGTTTGATGGACTCATAAAACCATTATCAGGCTTAGTACACAGAAGAAGGTAGGTTTGAATCATTATTTTAAGACATTTCATATCTTTTTTCATCATTAAGGCTCTCTGATCTCCACAGGCGACACGTGACCTAAGCGTTGCCAGCAATGATAACATTTCCAGATTCTTAACCTTGTCGCCCGGGGTCTGGGTGTCACCTTTATTACTGTGTTAAACAGGTAAACATAGGTAAATCCAAGCAAAGAAATCGCATACATGTTCTTTCCTATACATACATGCAGGGTATATATGCAACGTTTTAATTATTTGATTTCAGAACTTAAATAGAATTTCATATGGTGTTATGCTCGCAATTTGTTGATATGCAACACATTTTGCGACATTAATCATGCTGATATAATTTTTAGTCCATCTCTGATTAAGAACGTCCAAGGAAAACTTCAATAGTAAAGCTAAAAGTATTCATAAATTAACTTGCTTATTTCAAGGCTAAAATTTTAATTCAAATTAAGAGGCAAAATTTGAAATTACCAGAATCATCTTCCAATTCTTTCAACTTTTCTTCCAATTTTCTCTCTTCATCTTCTTTCTCCGTCATCATTGTAATTGTCTAATCCTAAAAATAAAACATAGTACAGATCTTGCTGATATAAAAATATCAATAATTGAAATTGGTCTTTTTTTTTAAAGTAGTAGTAAAAGGGGTCAGTGATGTGCTTACAAATTTAATCACTACTCTGAAATATCGCTTTCATAATAGTATAGTTAATTCGAAATAATGACTTCGTCTCTCCAGACGAAATCCTAACGCCTTTACGAGATATTACCCCAGATTATTGATCTGCATATGTCAGCAGTTTAAAACCCATAGCATGACAGGATAAGCGATTCCACGAGTCCTACTGGACATGCTGAGTGAGATATACAATATTATACAATGAATTGGGGATTGGAATAGTGAAAGTAGAAATCACAAAGGATCTACATCCATTGTTAACCAGCAATTTAGGATATGCGTTAATTTTCGATTTGTTTAAATCAAAATGAGAATATATGATTTAAATAACAACCTTACCTGCGTATCTTATCGGCGTGGTATGCACAGTTTAATAAAAGCCTTTTCTTAATGAACAAGCCCCCTAACCATTACCAACGTCTTACTCATTCATTTTTCAGACAGAAATGTTATGTTATACGCGATTTGATTGGCTGGTCTCGGTACAAAAATAGGTCAATGGAATGTTATGGGGCTATTTAAAGGTCTCTCTCTCTCTCTCTCTCTCTCTCTCATTATTTCTTCAAAAATTCAGCATTACACTTACTGACCATACTGTTCGATTGACGTTGTTAAAATATTTTTACAACAGATCAATCGGGAAACGTAAATGCCAAGGTCCTCTTAATTGCATGCAAGTAGCCGAATGGGACCTAAAACATGTAAAACAAGGAAGGATTCTTTGATTTACACTTTTTTGTTATTGTTTGTTTTTATTTTTATCTATTTATTTTTACATTTTTCATCTGCGAATGTAGTGTTTTTAAAATCAGTTTTGTGTGTGTTTTTTAACTGACGACCCCAAATTTTTTGTCTTTTATACATGTTAATATTATGTTTGCATTCTTCTGATTTACGGTGGGCGAGGCAATAACTTTTGAGGACGTATATTTTAATAGGTGTGGGAGTTTAAGTCAGAGCATAAGCTGGGCAGCTATCCAATTCTACAAGTTTATCTGTACCACACAAAAAAGAACCTAATCTTGCCCAGTATTTTGTATACTCAGTAAATCTGCCCTATCATAAAATAAATAAAATCGGATTCGAAATGTTTTAAAAGCAATGCACGCAATGTCCACCAGGTTAAGGACAAATACCATAATGAACTTAATTGCATATGTAAAAATCTGTTTACAATTAAGAACATGAAAACAAAACTGAATTATATCAAGTTTAAAATTTTAATGCCCTTCTTTGAAAAACGATAGAATATCCCTTTTAAAAAAATATGCTCTGGGCTCGTTGATATATACATGATATATAAATGGATAATTTTGAAAACTTTTTTCTAATTGATTTTTTTGAAAATTATTTTTTAGTCATAAATTTGGGAAAGAAATCGTATTTAAAAATGAATATTTTGGAATTCTTTAAAAAATTGTATTTTGATCGTTATTTTCCTGATTATTCCGGAAACACCCCCACCTGATCCAGGTAATATGTACATTACACCTGTGACGTCAAGTCTTTTATACGATACTAAAATTAAGTGATCTCCCTTTGAATATATTCTATAATTTTTTTTTTAAATATTAGTTATTTATAAGTAAAGTATGATAATTTCAATTATATAATAAACAATTAAATACAACTTACAGAGTTGTTTTAATTTCCTGTAATTATCTCTTTGAAAACTTTTGCATTTTATGAATTTTAAAGGAAAGCCTATGTTTTTACCTTAAAAGCTTTCCTAAATGTAAAAATGTAAATTTATATATTGCTTTTAGACACTGTTTAAGGTACTCTGGTTTCTCTTCAATCCACGATTAAATCTTTCGCCTTTTACTAAAGATTTCCGTGGAGAGGAACATAAAATGAGTCTATAGACTTATTTTTGAAGCCCTACCTAGGTAGGGTTAACATACCAAAATAGATGAAAAGCGATTCCTCACAGCACAGGTACGTGTGTCTGAAATAAATTAGAAGCTATAGTATAATATTGGGTTTAAAATTTATTTCCGAAACAAGTGCCTGTGCTACCTACATGTAGCCATTCAGATCGACTAAAAATTGGTGTGAAAAAATAGTATTCACCCCATTTTTTTTAAACGTCGGATTAAAGCGATCTAACGCTTTGGTTTCACCAATCAAAAAAAAAGTGCATCTTCATGTATACTTACTACATAATATAATTATTACCCTATACTCGGAATTATCCGGATCCTGATAGGATTAACTATGATGAAAATTGATACTTGCGAACTAAATTAAATACTGAGATTACAATTTATTAGTAGCAGAATGCTTCCTAGTTTTCACCAATATCGATGAAAAGAAAATATCACTCCATATTTCGATGCAGGTGTGGCAACGCACTTTGAAAAAATTACGCACTTTGAAAAAAATTTTCAAAGTGCGTTAAAATTGGGACAAAATCAACGCGCTTTGAAAATTTTTTTCAAAGTGCGTTAAATTTGGGACATACTCAACGCACTTAGAAAAATTTTTTCAAAGTGCGTTAAGAGATTACATCAATATATTTTACCATGGAGACACTTAACGCGCTTTGAAAACAAATATGTAAAAACAAAAATTTTGCATTTAGATTTTAGTAATAGAAAGATTCTATTTCAGTGAACATTATTTATCTTTCAAAGAACTTATAATTTATTTATTTTACTTCTCCCGTCGGGAAGAGAAGATGACCGGTAGATGATCTCTCAGCCTATAGTCCAAAAGAGGGTAATTCGCATTTTCAATGCCTATATGATGTATATCTTTCCAAAATAAGTGGGGGGGATAAGCCCCCCTCCTCTTGCCCTTCGGCCGGTTTCGATGCCTATGCTCTACCCAAACAATGGATATATATGTATTTACATTACCGGTATGACATTGAAAACTATCAATAATTGAATTAACTTAAACAGATGAAAACTAGAAATTTTTAAGTACAGTAAAACGTATGAGAGAGAAAGATTTTTTTCATAGTCTTGAAAAATCAAATTGCCCCTCTTTCTTTAAGATAAAAACTTTGTTGTAAGTCGTTTAATTTTAGCCCCTCCCCCCCCCCCCTTACATCTACATATTACAGACTAGAAATTTTAAAAAGAAACGGAAATAATAATATTAAACAATCAGCTCTCTATTTTTTCTAAAAGACCCATTTCCCTTTTATAATGTTTATCAAAACCTTAAATATTTAAAACGTCAATATCTTAGGTCCTGATTTGACCTTATCACCAAAAAGTTATCCAACCAAGGTCAATTATTTATCATACCGATTATTTGTAATAATATCGATCAAGCTTTACATTTTTTTCAAAGTGCGTTAATATGGTCGATATTAACGCACTTTGAAAAGAAATTTAATTTTTTCAAAGTGCGTTAGCTTGGTCCCAAATTTAACGCACTTTGAAAAATTTTTCAAAGTGCGTAATTTTTCAAAGTGCGTTGTAACATGCAGGTTTTGCAAAATTTTAAAATGCACGAGAATGAAAACAAAACTTGTCTGTCTAATAAAATGTTTTCACTGGACTGTATATTTTATAAACAAATCATAAAAAAGTTGTGGGTAAGGCATTGTACTCTTGATATGTTGTGATTTCAGCATTTAATTCGGTTCGCAACCTATCTAAAATCAACCAGAGAATGCCGCCTTCTTACAACGCACTTTGTAAAATTACGCACTTTGAAAAAATTAATTTTTTTTTTCAAACTGCGTTGATATCGACCATATTAACGCACTTTGAAAAAATGTAAAGTTTGATCAATATTCTTACAAACAATCGGTATGATAAATAACTGACCCTGCTTGGATAACTTTTTTATGATAAAGTCACTTCAGGACCTGAGATATTGACGTTTTAAACATTTGAGGTTTTGATAAAATAAAAAAGGGAAAGGGTCTTGAAAAAAATAGAGTGTCGATTGTTTAATATCATTATTTCGTTTTGTTTTGTTTTGTTTTTTTTTTTTAAATTCTAGTCTTTGATAAGTAGATGTAAAGGGGGCGCTAACAGCGAACAACTTAAAACAATATAGCATTTATCTTAAGGGGACAATTTGATTGTTTAAAACTATGAAAATTCTTTCTCTCTCATACGTTTTACTGTACTTAAAAAAATTCTAATTTTCATCTGTTTTAACTTAACTCATTTATTGAAAGTTTTCAACGACACACCAGTAATGTAAATACATATATACATGTTTTGAGTACAGCATGGACATCGAGACCGCGCGAAGGGCCAGGGGAGGGGGGGGGGGGGTAAGCCTCCCACTTATTTTGGAAAGATATATACATCATATAAGCATTGAAAATGCGGCTTACCCATTTTGGGTTTATTACTCCCCTCCCCCGTCTTTTCGACGGGAGTAAATCAATTCATAAGTTTTTGAAAGATGAATAACAAATAAAATATTTCCATTACTAAAATATGATTTAATTTTTTTTCAAAGTGCGTTAAGGGTTTTCATGGTAAAATATATTGATGTAAACTCTTAACGCACTTTGAAATTTTTTTTTCAAAGTGCGTTGAATTGGTCCTAAAGTTAACGCACTTTGAAATTTTTTTTTCAAAGTGCGTTGAGTTGGTCCTAAATTTAACGCACTTTGAAAAAAATTTTCAAAGTGCGTTAATTTTGTCCCAATTTTAACGCACTTCGAAAAAATTTTTCATAGTGCGTAATTTTTTCAAAGTGCGTTGCCACACCGCCTCCAGGTGGAGGCGGCGAATTTCCAGTTTTCGTAATAGCACCAGTTCTGACGTTTTCCTGGCACATAAAAATATCGAAATCGTGAGAAAAGCCTGTAAAACGTCAGATATTTTGGACTAGAATACTTTGTAACTTTCTTTAGTATATAAGTTATTGTACAAAAAAAGCCCAGATAAATATACGACTAAAAAGGAAAACTTGATCGATTCATTTTAATGAAGGTTATCTTTCTTATTCTTCTCTACAATGTATGTAGAGTTATGAGAACAAAATCATTATCATTGTCTATTACAACTATTATGTATAAGGTTGCTCTCTTTGGTTATTCTTGAAGGTCGCCACCCTCCATGGCATGATGGAAAAAAAATGAAAAAAATCCGCAAACAATTCAGTGTGTAAATATTGAATATTTTGGTTAATTTGTTTCATCAACTTGTTTTCAACAGGTTGCCTTCTTTTAGAAGGGTATGCTCCTGCGTATCAAGAGAGAGAGATATAAACATCATAGTCTGGTGATTAGGGTATATTGCTCGTAAGTATGGGAAGCTGACGAATGAAAAGTTGAAGTCATCACGTTTATCATAAAGTTTTGTTGCTAGGTTATCATTAATTTCTTTTTCTATAGTAAAATATTTAAATATGAAACAGATATGTCAGGCTCTATGGCATGGTTTTTTATAATGAGTTGACATACATGTATAAATGGATAATTAATTGATAATAAGTCGTCGATACATCTAAATTCGAGTTGAAGATCACAACAAGTGCTTTCTTATTCTTATGTAAAAGTATTTGACTAAATTCTGCTTCAAATGAAAACAAAAATAGGTCTGCTAATAATTGAGCGCATTTAATACATGGAAATTCCAAAAGATTTTTGGAAGATCTAATCTCGAAAAAAACGACATACATGTATTGTAAGTCAGAAAATCATTTGCAAACACCTTTTTATATCAACTTCACAGTTCTTGTGTGTACAATCAGATTTAATGTTTTTAAACAAAATGTTTTGCAGTTGACCAGTGACAAGGTAATGATATTGACGAGTTCCATTTTTTTATTGAAAAGCAGCAATCAATGATGTCAAAAGGTCTAGACTTTAATTTATCGGGAGGAGGGGTGTATAAAGTGTTGAAAATTGTATGTTTTAATGTTATTAATTTTGAATTTGGTAAAATGTCGTTATTTTACACATTTTCATGAAGTTTCTTGAAGTATGTAAGCATCCACATTTGATTTACACAACTTCTGGGGAAAACTGTTGTACAGTACTCCCGAAGCTTCTCCTTCAATACTCCTTATATTTTGCAGAGGAGAAAAGGGAGAGGCCTGGTAAAACATTTACTGGAACCAGCCATATGTATCTATGTTTGTAAAGATTTTTATGAAGTTAAGGAATCCAGTGTAGGTAATTCAAATTCATTTTGATTGTTGGGAATATTGAAAATATCTAAAACTGACATGGGTTTTTAAGAATTTCCTCCTCTTAATAGAAAGGGAGCGATGGGTATAAGTCGGATCACCACCTGCAGAATTAAATCCTAGCTCCTTTGAAATACATTCACATGAGCCTTATAATGAAAGAAATAACGGGCACCTGCTTTGTCTGTGAGGACCAGTACATATACTGATCGTGAAAGTTATTTAATTCTTTTGCGTCGAAGGCGGTGTGGCAACGCACTTTGAAAAAAATTTTCAAAGTGCGTTAAAATTGGGACAAAATTAGCGCACTTTGAAAAAAAAATTTCAAAGTGCGTGAAATGTAGGACCAACTCAACGCACTTTGAAAAAAATTTTCAAAGTGCGTTAAGAGTTTACATCAATATATTTTACAATGGAGACACTTAACGCACTTTGAAAAAAAAATTAAATCATATTTTTATAATAGTAATGGAAATATTTTATTTGTTATTTAACTTTCAAAAAAACTTATGAATTGATTTACTCCCGTCGAAAAGAGGAGAAGACGGGTAGAAGATCCCTCAGTCCAAATCTTTATCTTTCCAATACATAGGTGTCGGTAACAAACGGGGGAGGGGAGCATTAAACCCAAAATGGGTAAGCTGCATTTTCAATGCTTATATGATGTATATATCTTTCCAAAATAAGTGGGAGGCTTACCCCCCCCCCTCCCCTGGCCCATCGCGCGGTCTCGGTGTCCGTGCTATACCCAAAACATGTATATATGTATTTACATTACTGGTATGTCGTTGAAAACTTTCAATAAATGAGTTAACTTAAAACAGATGAAAACTAGAATTTTTTAAGTACAGTAAAACGTATGAGAGAGAAAGAATTTTCATAGTTTTAAACAATCAAATTGTCCCCTTTTTATTAAGATAAATGTTATATTGTTTTAAGTTGTTCGCTGTTAGCGCCCCCTTTACATCTACTTATTAAAGACTAGAATTAAACAAAAAAAAAAAAGAAACGAAATAATGATATTAAACAATCGACACTCTATTTTTTTCAAGACCCTTTCCCCTTTTTATTTTATCAAAACCTCAAATGTTTAAAACGTCAATATCTCAGGTCCTGAAGTGACTTTATCATAAAAAAGTTATCCAAGCAGGGTCAGTTATTTATCATACCGATTATTTGTAAGAATATTGATCAAGCTTTACATTTTTTTCAAAGTGCGTTAATATGGTCGATATTAACGCACTTTAAAAAATTTAATTTTTTCAAAGTGCGTTAGCTTGGTCCCAAATTTAACGCACTTTGAAATTTTTTTTCAAAGTCCGTTGTAACAAGGCGGAAATAAAAAATTGCTCTTGTTCAGAATTTCTTTTCTATATTTCACAACAAAATGTACTTAGTGAAGCTTGTTTTTCTAAGCAATTTTTCTTTAAACAGCCAAGGTACATGTATAATTCAATACAATGTCCAAGAATTAAACAAACAGTATCAATCTAAAAAATATATTTTTCCTCATGTTTTTCCTTTAAGTCAGAAGTTATGGTGTTTTCACATTTAACTTATTTAAATTTATACATATGCATGTGTTATCTTTTCCGCTTGCGCTTTGAGGTCTTGAATTCTCTGTCTTCTGTGGGTCTCCATCGAGCGGTCGGTACCACATTTTTTTTTTATCTTGTTGACGTCAGGATCACCTCTAGTATCACAAATGTGTCAAATAGCTTTTCTTTCTCCAGTGAATGCTTAACTACTGGTTATAAGCGCGGGGATTCTGATGTCTCTTTTTTAAACTTTACTTTTGGGTCAAAAACATTACTTGGTGGATCCAAGGATCCAGAAAAGGGGCGGGTGCACAATTTTTTAATTCAGAAAAAAGGGTGTCGGGGAGTTTGTGTCTCTATCTCTTTGATGGTATGACTCTGTGTGAGAGAGGGTGTGTGTGTGTGCGGGTAGCGTGTACGTAAAGTGGTACACACCTTTCAATTGGGAACAGCATTCTATCCAAGGACATCCCCGGTTTTCTTGTATTAAAAATAGTGCCAAATTGGAAATTAGATAGCTGCAGATCTGTAGCCTCCGAAAAAAATATATTGATAGACCGGAGAGCTACAGTGCCACCCATTGAAAAACTGTATATTTATTGCGCACAAAAAAGTGCTCTCGGTTCTCGATTTATTTCTCCATGTTTTAAAAACTAATTTCAAAATATTACTAACCGTGTGTTCCTAACATATTCTTTCGCTGTTTCCACATCCAAACATTCCTCATAATTGTTTTTAATAGTCCTCCTGACCCTGATATTGTAATCATGGGACATTTCGCTTATCTATACTGCCATTTTGGTTTCAAAGATAATTCGGTCCAGTATGCTTCGTTCAGATGTCAACTATGAGAATACTTGATTGAGGATAAAGGAATATTTTGAAATCTTTCCTTTTTTTGCAATTGAGGTAAGAATTTAGAGGAATTAATCAAGAACCGAGCGCACTTTTTTATGCGCAATAAATATACAGTTTTTTCAATGGGTGGCACTGTAGCTCTCCGGTCTATCAGTATATTTTTTCGGAGAGCTACAGATCTGCAGCTAGAAATTAGAAATCTCTTACTACTCCAAAACCTACAAAAATCTTTCGACTAGAAAAAGAAGTCTCGTACATATGTATCATGAAAATCATGTCCCGTGAACACCAGTCTCTCTGACGAAGTCATTGGTACATGTAGATTATGAGTTATGGGTGTATTTAGGCCACACCAATTTAATTTCTTGTTCGTCGGACATTTGACGAAAAAAAGTAAGAGCGGTCAAGCGGTTAAATAATAATATTATTACTTTTTGTAGACAAATATTTTAGGCGGAGCGTAAAGAAATTTGAGCGGAATTATATTTTTTTCTGATTTACAGAGTAAGCAGATGAAAAATACGATTAATAGAGCGGAAATGGAACAGAAAATAGCTCATAATTTCCATGGTGCGGGAAATTTGAATTGATATTATTTGTCAAGTTTCGTTTAAATACGCGAGCGCGCGGGTCCGACAAACAAAAATATTTATTGGGGTGGCCTTATGCTTGTTACCTAAACTTTTTTATATTAAATGTTCAGTTTTCGGATTAATTCTATCTTTTTATGGAATTGTGAAGAAGGAGCTATAACTAACCGTTTATTAGCTGAAATTATAGCATTCTAAATTATTTCCTATGAATTTATGGTGAAATTTCAGAAAAATGAATGTAAAGCTTTTTTTGGCAATAAGGAGCTCATTAACAAAACCTTTTAAGAATTCAAAGTAAGGCATGACAAATCGGTAAACCGATTTTAATGACTCCATAAATACAAAGACAAAAAAATAGTTATTTTAATTGACTTGCTTATTAAACATGTAATGTACACTTTCTCACAGTGTTTTTACTGTTTGTCGTTTGGAACTGTCTTCTGTATGATAGGCAGGTTAACATTCATGAAGTTATTCACATTGGCTCGGCTGCTTCCGCTGTTTGCCAGTTTTAAGTCACGTGATACATTAGGACTTCCGTTATTCCTGCAGCCGACAGGGTCATCAGAGAACTTGACGACGTTGGTCCCCTGGAGGGAGCGGTTGGAGTTGTTGGACATTGTGTGGGAGATAGGACCCCGCTGTACCCCTGTGGACGTCTGAAATTTCCCGGTAAGTCGCTGAAGCTTGTGACGTTTCCAGGAAGATTTCAGGCAACAACAGCATCGAACAAACTCCCGTTTGAAGTTAATGGTAAACATACCTAGAGGAAGAAGCAGAGAAGATTGAAGAAGATCTCATCCGATTGTTTGGAGGGAGAAGGTTCTTTATAAAACAGTTGCTATAGCCACCGCCCCCATTTTTGAGTTTCCCGGCGGAAGGTGGTAGTGAACATTCCTACAATATACGGATATTTAGATTCACTAAAACTGCAACGGGTTAAGGAAAGAAATGCCATTAATCTAATGATTGAAAAATAAAAATCCATAGGGGAGAAGAAAAATAAACTTCCATTTTAGGCAAAATTAAGGGAAATTGGCTGGAATTAAATTAAGTTGAAATTATAACCGTATACAGTGTATTACATTTGCAAGTTTTCTTAAAATAAATACTTGGAAAATACAGTCTTTAGGTGACACCAGCATTTAGGTTTGGGGAAAATGTCTTATGGAAGTGAGGGAAAATCTTACTGAACTACCTGAAGTAGACAAGTGTTACTGCAAATTTACGAACGTGGAGGCAATGTAAAACCATATCGACCCAAAAGTGTGTAAAAGTTCATATATATGTACATACGATGTTTCTTTACAAGCATATTTGGTTGACTAGCGCGTGGTGTCTAGGACAAGTGTAGGGATAATTTTTCAATGTAAAAATATATTTGTTGCATGATTTTATTCTAGTGATCACAATTTTCCACGTAATTCCCCGTAGGTATTTTTACTAAAAGGGGGTAAGGCGCTTTGGCCCTCTTTCCTACTTAAAAAGTTTAGAAGTATGCAAGAATTTAAACGGATTATTAAACGGTTGCTTCTTCAAGCCTTGTAATAATTCTTATATACGACATTTAACATATATTTTTGAGGAGGATCAAACATTTATCGGAGTTCACCGTTATTATTCAAACATTTCCACCGGGGATTTCATTCATCAACACTAACTAGATTTTTTTATATCAAGTTTATGTTTTAAAAATGCAATATTCTAAACAAAACGTAATCTATATCGTATAGAAACTCGTTTTCACTAAATATATTATATGGAGATAAAACACAGAATTCAAGCTCAAAAGTCCATCATATAATACAAATCAGGAGCAGAGCAAATACAAATGCTACAATATATATACCCCAATTATCCAAACAAACAGCTATTTCTTAAATAAAGATTGACTCTTAACAGAAAAAAAACTTGCATTTCCTGGAATGGAAAAAATTGCACTAAAAAACTGTGATAGCTTCATCATAAAGGGAGAATTCAATAGTTAGTATCAAGAAATGAATAATTTTATGACCACAAGATCATCATTCCTGATAGGTTAATACATATTCCGTACCATATACAATAGGATCCATACAGGAATTGGACACGGCAAACAGGAAAAGGCCTCTCTGAACTTTGGGATCCAATCGACTCGCGGACTCCCTACAAAACAAACAAATAAATCTGTGTCAAAATTGAGCCACTGTCATTTGGTTAAATTAGATGAATAGCGTCAATGCTAGACAACTTGTATGAAAAATCGAAGAAAATCCGACAAACAAGCTAATGTGTTTATTGCCGTACATCTTATTATAAAAGACGGATTGAACCGCTTGATGTTCAGACGCTGACAATTTTCTGATATTCAGAATAAGATACATTCAAACATTTCCACCACGGATTTCATTCATCAAACTAACTAGTTTTTTTTTATGTCCCTGTCTCCAGAGATACCATAAAATGCAAAAGATTTCTGAGTCTTCCTGAATCTTTAAGAGTTTATGTTTTAAAAATGCAATATTCTAAACAAAACTTATTCTGCATCGTATAGAAACTCGTTTTCACTAAATATATTATATGAAGATAAAATACAGTATTCAAGCTCAAAAGTCCATCAAACAATACAAATCAGGAGCAGAGCAAACATGAACCTCTAAAACATCAGAGTTGGGATAAGGTGCTTTGGAAGAGTGAGCACCCCCTGCCGACCGGTCACAACCGCCATCTTTTTTAAATATATACAATAAAAAATGATGTACTTTGCAAACGATTCATATTGAACGACTTGTTTCAGAAATTATTATGGACAACCTCAGTGCAGAATCTTCCATAGACAAAAGTCTCGAATTCACTTTTCACCACATAAACCTTCAACCGAATAGACTGGGTTCGATGAGAAGTACTATCGTGCCATTCAATGAGATTACGGCTTTAAAAACTCTATTGTCTTCTGCCATTGACCAATCAGATTAAGCGAATTAACGGTGAATGCGACACAGTATTGAAAGTCGGTAATAATTAAATTTAACATAACTGTAATTATAATAAATGCTGAGACAAGCGTTTAACTGAGTTATATAATTGTAGAGACGCTTTTGCTGAGACTAAAACTTGCATGTTTTTTCTCTTAACCATCTAGTTTTGGTTGAAATAAATCCATGATTTTGATTGGCTCATGCAAACTTTTATAAGGCCAACCAAAAAACGTATTTCTAAGCCACTCAATTATATCTTCGCTGTTTGCTAAAAGGTTTATGTGGAGCGGAGTGGGTCAGATACCCTTGACTTGGGGGAAATCAGATGACTTTTTGACATCACCAGTGTCCAAAAGAAGTGTGGTCATCCAAGTTCGTAATCTGAGATACTTGAGCGTGTTAATCTTTTAATAGTGCTATCAACTCACCTGTCGAACCACCACCAAGCCGACAGTACAAAGTATGGCGTCCAGCAAATCACAAACACACTGACTGAAGGATAAAATGCATGTTTATGAAATTAATTAAAAAAACCGTATTTATAATTTTAAAAGTGGGGGAGGGTGCAACCAGCAAAAAAAAAAAATACAGCATAAAACATCCGGAAAAAAGACCACCGCAACTTGGAAATATATCGGCTTATTAGGGTATAATCTTTTTTCATTATCATTTTTGTTTAAAAATCTCCATCGCCTATTTTAAAGGCATCTTCTTTCTTAGTTGTTCATTAAAAATGGATATTTGCATGATGTCATTATATTTTCACTAATACCGTATTAAATCATCTTCCCTAGAAATAGAGGATGGTTCTTTACTTTAATCAAGAGTAAACTTGAAATCTCTGTACCTAAGAGTGCCTTGTGGCAAGTTTTATTGAAAAAAACAAGATTGGCTAAGACCCCATTTTGGCCTGGTTTGGATTGTCCTTTAGAATAGTGCAACAGTTTACCAATAAAGATAATCCCTGACACTAAATTAGTATTGGAAATAAGTTATTGAAAGGCCATTTGATGGTTAGAAAATATGTGATTTTCTGCATTTTCTTATTTTTATGCATATTTTCCTCGATTTCACAGCACATTTTGTCTCAAAAGACTAAACACAAGTTTTCATACACCAGATGCATCTTGTGTGTTAAAATTTCAGATAGGCAAGCTTGTGCTTCTTCATGTTTCCAAAAGTGAAAAGTATCTAGAAGAATTGAGGAAATTCGGGAAAATGTTCTACTTCTGCAACCTTCAGTAGCTTCCACATAAGCTTTGAATCAGATTTAGTGCTGGTTTAAAAACAAATTCATTTTACTACATGTATCCAAATTATCACAGTTTAAACTGTTACTGGATTGTGATTTTTACATCAAATAAGGGGCCAGTTATCATACCTTGTGGTTTATCCAGAAGTCAAGAAATAACGGATAGAAAGACAAACAACTGAACGGATGCCGGACAAAAAGTGTTCATAAAAGCTTACTTTGAGCTTTTATCTCAGTAGAGCTTAAACCTCTTCCAGAAAAAGGCATATATTGATGATCATATTATCATTGTAAAATTGGGTGCATAGAATATAGTGAAAGTCTTTAGTATGTATGTTTCTGACAATTTTGCATCCTTTTCTCCTATTCGTTTTTTATCGTGTGCTCAGAGTGATGATTTTTTTTAAGTGATACATTTTTTTCAACATTTCTTTAACTATAGATATTTGACTGACATAAGGAACTGACGGTGATTTTTCTTTGGTCTGAAATTTCCAGGGTTTCTTTCAGCTTAATTACCTATAACGAGGGTCATTTTCAAGGTTCTAATCCGGGCTCTCTCCATGTTCCCAACCGAAGAACGGCGCAGGCGCGAGCGTGTTGAAAGGCATTTTGTCTCCTCTACAAGAAAGATTATTTATGTTAAAATACTATCATTTCTTCTCCTTGAAAATTACTACCTCAGTACACAGTAGACAAAAATTATTTTCAAAAAATGAATTAAAAGAACACTGAATTATTTCTTGTAAGTTCAAACAATGTTGGAGAAAAATAAATCACAGAGCCTCGTTTTTAAGAGCCTGAAGACGTCGTTCTCTATCATTAGTCATCACACCTATTGTGTAACAGATCAACGTATTTCGATTTATTTCACGAAATAGCAACTTCCTGTGCATTGCTAATGAAGAAGATAGAACCCAGAGGCTTAAGAAAGAAAAAACATGTCACCAGTAGCTTTTAACAGAGGAATTCTAAGCGTGCTTTCTAAGAAAATTATAGAAGAACAGAAATGTGCCCTTAGTCAGGACAGAGGTGTGGAAAGAGCAATTATCTAGGATGAAAAACACGACTTGTAGAATTTTAATGTGAAACATATAATTGGATAAACGCGAATGGTGAAAATTAATTCAAGACTCCATTTAGAATGTATTTGATTTATTCACTTCTAAAAAAAAAAACCATGAATCAGTGTAATATTTGTTGTCTATTCTACTATTCTACTTCTATTTATGAACTTTTTTTTTAAAGAAGAAGGCTCGCTACCCTACTTTAAAAGATGCTTAAGTTCTGCATCTAAAACAAAAACAAGGGCAGTGTACTGCTTCAAAATTCAACTAAAAAAACAAAAACAAAGAACAAAAAACAACAAAAACAAAAAACAAACAAACAAAAAACTGTGAATCATCCACTCATTCTGACAAAAAAAAATAGTTACGGAACTTTCCAATTATTCCAAATTCATTAAAAAGAACATATGATAGTACACTGACACGAAATAGAATCTGTACACTTCTTAACTACATACACCGATTCTTCACTTTTACAGGCATTTGTAATAAACTACAACCTGTCCTACATATTTAAAATGTTCTACACATAAATTCTCTGAAAAGTCAAGTACAAATGAATTCGAGTCATAAATTTATGACTACAAACATATTGAACCTACTTGACAAAATAGCAGAAATAGGAAAACGTAAATGTCAAAGTCGTAAATCCTGTGAGTTTTGTTAAGGATGAAAGGAATTTTGCAATGTATGCATATTAAATCGGTAATACCAGTTGTACTTCAGCAGTGAACATGCTTTTTCACATAAACATAAAATTTATGTGGCATTATTTTCAAGTGAACAAACACAGAACAACTGCCTTCACTTATTACTGATATACGCGCAAGCGTTTCTTATAAATATACTGCTGTAGGCGACAAAGCTTAGGGATCAGTCATTTAATTTGTTGTAACAATTGGGAGACTGAGTCATGTGAATAAAAAGCAAGATACTGCATGGCGAATCGTAGGACACAATAGAATCTTACAAGATTACATTTTTCTTCACTGACTGGTATTGATTTTGGTAATTTTCTTTCTCAGTTAAGGTTTTGCCAAAGGTCAACATGACCAAATATTTATTTTTACAAAACGTCCAAAACTATGTGGTTTATAAAGTAAGAACTTTTACAATTTATAGATATATCATTGATTAACAGATAGAAAGTATCACTTGAAAACAAATATTAAAAAAAAAAAATTGAGAAAAAAATCTTTTAAAAAATGCATGTATTTTTTTTTTTTTACAAAATAAACCTAAGTACATCCAACTTTTATTGAAAAACATCACTGCAGAAACAAAATATATTTATCAAAGAAGGACAAGTTGGTCTTTGATTGCCTCTGTAAAGTTGTTTTCCCTGTTTATTTTGTCCAAATGTTAAGACCTGAAACCGAAAGTACATTTCAAATGGCAGATTTTATAGGGGTCTTGTCTTTATACATGTCATGCTTTCAATAACAGCCTTTCAGAGACCATTCACGTCCAATTGCCATTCATTGATAAACATACATTATTTCTACAATGACGGTTTTCACTAAAAGTACAGCATTTTTTATAATATGCAAATTTTTTGATATATTTTTTCTAAAAATATATTTTTGAAATATTTGTTTTCAATGAAGGATATGGAGATAACGAACGGTATTCAATAGCAAAGTCTATAAAACAATACAAAGCAGGAGCAGAGCAAACACGGACCTCCAAAACATCAGAGGTGGGGCCAGGTGCCATGGAGGAGTGAGCATCCCCTGCCGACCGGTCACACCCTCTGTGTGTTCGTTGTCATGATCGGGAAATAACGAAAAAATCTGTCGTCAATTCAGTGTACAAATAATGGACTAACAATAAGTATGAAAAACGTCGGTCAGCATTTGACTTAATGATAAATTGTTTTGCTGACAAGGTCATTGTATCGACCATAGAACTTATGAAATGTTGACTTTAAACGAGAATGCTGATATTCTTGTTTCATCAACTTGTTTGTCAATAATTTACCCGGTACCTCGTTTTAGAAATTGTTCATACATAAAGCATGCACTTGTGTATCGAATCAAATGAGATATATCAACTCCGTATGCAGGTGATGAAGGTATATTGCTGCATATGTAAGGAAAGTTGACGATAGAAAAGTTAAAGTCATCACGTTTATCATAGAGCTTGGTTGTTAGATTACCATAAACGTCTTTTTGAAGTAAAATATCCAAGTATGAAACATATGTGTCAGATTCTATGGTATCTTTTATCTCAAGTTCACCAGGATATATCTTTTCGACACAGGAATGGAAATTACCATTGTTAATTGACAATATGTCTTCGATATATCTAAATGTCGAGTTGAAGGCCACAGTAAGTGTTTTCATCTTTACACACATACGATTTTGCACAAATTCTGCTTCATATGAATACAAAAATAGGTCTGCTAATAACGGAGCGCAGTTGGTACCCATGGGAATTCCAATAGATTGATTGGAAGACCTGGTCTTCAAAAGCCACATATAAATATTGTCAATCAGAAACTCAAGCATCTTTTAGATGTCATCTTCAGAGTACTTGTTTGTGCAATCAGAATGTGTTTTAGCAAAATAATTTTGCAAATGACCAATGACCAAGTAAGTAAATTTACGAGTTTTATTTGAAAAAAGCAGCTGTCAACGATAAAAAAAGCCTGGACTTTAATTTATCGTGGGGAATGGTTGTGTATAAAGTTGAAAAGTCGTAAGTTTTTAAGCTGTTGATTTTCAAGTGATACTTTCCATCTGTTTTATACGGAAGCCCTGGAGGGACATTGACTTACTTGTTGTGACATTTTTTATAACTTGTTTGTTGTGACTTAATTGTTATGAATTATTTGTTGCTAGTTAAAACTAAGTGTAACGTAGCCATGTAGAACGTGTAGCTTGGCTTAAAATGATATGTTTAGATCTAGTTTAACTATGGTTTTTAATTGATTAATTGTAGTTAATATCTAATATTAATATACGGCTAATATATAGTCAGTCCGTGCTCATTGGTGTGTGCAGAGTTTTAAGTATGAAGGATAAGGTTTAAAAAAAAAATGAAGGTGTAAGATTGTGTCAATCAAAAGCACATAGACATTTTAAATTTCAATAACTTAAAAATAAAAGTAAGATTTTTAATATATTTTCGTATGAAATACCATGGAAACTTACAGTTAATGGAATAATACAGAAAATTTTAGAAAATATTAACATCAAATCTATATCTAAGCACCTTTACTATGGATCTTACCTTTGCACTGTTTAGTCTTTTTGGAGATTTCCCAGAGAATGAGTGAGTACGATGTGGTAATGATGAGTAGGGGTAAGGCGTACAGTGTGATCAGATTAAACAGATTATAGGCCAGCTCGTGATTATCTGACGGGAAAAAGTTAAACGTCACGCACTGTGTAAACGTCTTGTGCTTTGGATGAGTCTCTACGTGGAATATGACACTCTGAAAAAAAAAAAGTAAAATGATAAAGCAATATCCATTTTGTGCTACTCGATCACGGGAATATTCTTGCATCCATCATTAAACCCCTTTTTAAATTTTCATTATATTTTCTATACACTCTTTGTTATACATGTACTTTCTTTACTCACTATTGATAACATGTACTTTCTTTTCTCGCTACTGTTTTAACTTTCTTTACTAAATCATTTTTAACTTTTAGTACTCACTTCTGTTTCCACTTTCTTTACTTACTTCCGTTTGTTTCTTTAATGTGCTTGTTTAACTTTTTTCTTTTTGGTACTTATTTCTTTTCTTTCACTGTTCTCAATTTTGTTTTAACTTTTTATACTCAACCTTTTTTACTTTTTTGAGCTCGCTTTTGTTTTTGCATTCTTGACTCCCTTTTATTTACCACGCTCACTCTTATTTAGTTTATTTACTCCATCTTGCTTTTAAATTATTTTCTCCATTACTATTGTTTCACTTCCTTAACTCACTCTTCTACAACCAACTTTTCTCTACTTTCTCTCCTCATTTCTTGTATTAACTCTTATGCTCAATCTTGTTTACACTTTACATATATTTCATTTTACTTCCTTTATCATAATTTTCTTTTATTAAGGAAATCATAAAGAAAATCCTGTTTAACTGGCTACAATTGTAAGTATCGTGTGTATCGAACATATTTAATTATTAAAACCACAGAGGATAACATTTAATTTGTATTCAATCTATTTTTGCCTTTATAACAAAATTGTGATGTAATAATATAAATCTTTCGTAATCTATTGATGATTAATTAAATCGTATATTTACGAATAAGCAGCTTTCGAAGTTTGGTCGTATATCTGCAAGAGGAGGAACATAAAAATGTTAAGAGGCAACCAACCCCGAAATTACTCTAGATCAGACCACTTGCTTTTTCAGTTGCCCCCTGCGTAGGATCGTTACAAATACCCCAGAATTCTTCACATTTGAAGAAAAGCATGAAGTGGTTTCCATGATCTCAAACATGCTTTAAGCACTAGCCTCTTATTTTCAAAAAAGAATAAGTAATTTCTCGAACACTCACAGCTCATGAATACCACTGATACCTTGCCTAAGTTTCAAGTCACCTCTTCGCGAACAGTAAATCACACTATATATTATATATAAGTTTTAGTCAGATGAGTATATTAGTATAATGATTATTAGTTGTTAGACTGTTTCCAAAGCAAACTAAGGATATAAAAATTATATCAGCTGATGAAAATAATGAGCCCCATGTTCTTCTAATACTCTGCATGAAGCTGTTACGACATCTATTTTAGGCACCAAAAGCGTTATACTGACAACGCCAGACAACACAACATTGTCATTCCCACGCAAAACAAGATTTCAGTAAAACTATAAAAAAAAATTCTATGTCTCTAGGATTTAGATATTTCATTGATCAATGTTAATGTCATAAAAACATAGTCCAGAGGTACAGATAGGGAATCTTCTATTTCAAAGGCATTTATGTTTCGGCGATTTTTAGTGTCTTTGATATTAATTTTCTTAAAAAATACCTTAAAGATAAATAATTTCCATAAGGCCTTTTGATGCCTTACCAAGTGCTTTGTTTGAGAATTTGGTTTTTTTTTCTTTTTCATACATGTAAATATTGGGCATTTGAACATATTATATCAACATTACCATAGATCAACATTACAGTTTTAATTTACTATTTTAATTAATCTAATCCTTCTGATAGGTTGTTTTTAATAGTCGAATTTGCATTTTTAACAAGTTTGCCAAAGAATAACAGAAGAGATCATCCGTGAGTATCCGACGACGTTGTTCAGTCCATTTGTGAACAATTTGTAAAAACGAGGCAAGCTACTAGACTATAAGTGAGTTGATGAAATAAGGATATCAACAGTCTCGTCTAAAGACAATTTACAAATTCTACGGTCAAAACAAATCAATACAATTTTGACACTGAATTATCTGTATATAGAATTTGCTTCACTCGATATTAAGATATATCGCCGACGTGTCATAAAATAACAATTCAGTGTATAAATATTACTTAAATATGATCTTCAGAAACATTATTTTGGAAAAAAAGTCAGCAAGCAATTGACTTATTGTAGACTGTACAGTGTATTTGCTAACAACTCAAGGACATTCTAACGACTACATAACTTTTATTTTTGACTTCGTAAAAGTTTGTTGCTATTCTAGTTTAATCAATTTGATTGTCAATAGCATGCCTCGTTTCAGAAATTGCTCGTCCTTATAAAGAACATACTCTTAATTGCGTATCAAATCTTTTGGGAAACGTAAACCAGGCGATAAGTGTATATTACTGCATAAGTAAGAAAAGTTGACTATTTTTAATAATAATGTTAAAGTCATCGTGTGAATCATAAAGTTCTGCTGTTAGGTTACTACTGACGTTTTTTTGGTAAAATTTCCAAATACGAAACTGATAAGACTCTGTTGTATCTTTTATTTCAAGTTCACTGAGATATTTCGAGTCGACATATGAATCGACGATTTTTAGTGCCAAATCATTAATATTCTCTGACATTCTCTACTGATAAAATAGAATTGACGAGAAAAATAATGCGCATTTATTACATATGTGCTTTGATGCTCAGAAGATAAGAAATCTTAATGCGCGATGTACGCTTGAAATGATCTTTCTATTGTATCCATTTTAATTGCCCTGTATCATATTTATGACACGAGAGTGAAACGTTTAGAATAATTTAAATGCATCCATTCTGTTAATTTGTTGAAACTGAATATTAATATCTGATCGCCAAGTTACCCCAAATAAAATTGTTTTAAATACAGCAATAAGTTTTCAATATAAAATCATCTTGATTTGATAAACTCAACATGTTTGTATTTATTGTAAAGAAGGGTATCAAATATTTGCTTGTTAACTCTCTTGAAAAGCTTTTAACGATGTACCAGTGTTACAACTGAGATATAGTTGGCAAAATTACCAATCATCGAAAAAATAATAACTGCCGTAATTATAAGGCTTGCCAATATCCTGTTTCCATCACCATTCCAGCATAAAAAGTCCAAGGAATGTCATAGTAGATTGATTTCACACAGCTGTTCCTCCTCCGACATAACATTGCCCTATTCATACCCATCCTAGCATGTACCACTCATTTTAAGATTTTCTGACGTATAATCACTTTTTGAATCGTATCATGTTAGCGACTTAATTCTGAAATCAAGGTACCACTGTGGACTGGAGGCAGAGGAAGCAAAAACTTCCAAAATAGAATATGTATAAAAAGCCAGAACCTTAAGATTGTGAGGAAGCTTGGCTCACACGCAAAGTTAGCTATTATATTTAATATTTACGAACCACTGTGCATGGTCATAAAAGTTTCATGCAAAACTCAAAAGAATGTGAAGCATTAAAAGTAGAAGAAGATTGAATTAACCTCAATTTTCTCTATACATGCCTAGTTTATTTCTAATAATAAAGTTATGGATTTTAAGTGCAGAGAATGTGACATTCAATCAAAGATAAGCCAAAATCTGATTTATTTATGTACTTTCAGATTCCCCGTAGCTTATACAGTAACTACAGTTATCCAAAGGATACAAAAGCAACTTCATATTGTCAGGATCTGTTCAAACAAAAAACAGGTCCCGAATTAAATTTTTCACAGGTTTACATTGCTGCAATTTAATTCAAAAGAGGAACACAATATTCATATTTCTTTTGAAAAAACTAGTCTTTACATTTAAAGAGAAATAGTGTATAATGTATATTGTACCAAAAGTCATTATTTATGCATCACCATCTAACAACCAAGCTCTATGATAAACGTGATGCCTTTAACTCTTCTATCATCAACTTCCCTTACTTATGCAGCATCATACAATGTACCTTTTTCACCAGCATACGCAGCAAATATATCTCAGTTGATTCGATACGTAAGAGTATGCTCTACGTTAAACAATTTCTAAGCCGGGTTAAATTGTTGACGAACAAATTGATGAAAAAAAAATTTCAGCAGTCTCGTTTAAAGTCATCATTTCGTAAGTTCTATGGTCGATACAATGACCTTGTCAGCAAATACAATTTATCATTGAGTCAAATGCTGACTGACGTTTTTCATACTAATTGATAGACCATTATTTATACATTGAATTGATGACGTTTTTTTTTCGTTATTTCCCGATCACGACAAGAAGCACACGGCGGGTGTGACCGGTCGGCAGGAGATGCTCACTCCTCCATGGCACCTGGTCCCACCTCTGATGTTTTGGAGGTCTGTGTTTGCTCTGCTCCTATTTTGTATTGTTTTATAGACTTTTGATCTTGAAAACTGCTCGTTATCTCCATATGTTTCACTTTTCTCAATGTATATAATTACCTTGGTCTTAAGACTAGGTTTGATCTCTAGATCCCCCCCCCCAAAAAAAAGTTCTGCCTTGGAACGAAACCCCCGAGTTCATTTAGTAAATTTCATAAAAATGGCGAGCGCCTCAAACAGGGATCTCTCCTTGTTTTTGATTTTTATTTGCTTGCCTTCAATAATGTAACACTACATTGTTCGTAATTAATAGCGCATATTGCAGAAATCCATAGTGCCTTCAGGGCAGTGACCAAAATTTACATGGCGAAATTTCCTAGTTGTAATGTTCCAATCCGAGGAAAAAGAAGTCTTGAAATAAAACTTGAATTTTGAAAAGTATTTTCCTTCAATATAATTAAAAATAAATTTTCTTTGTTAGAGAATAAGGGGAAGGGGAGTTTGACAGACGAAAGAAGTGAAAGGAGTACTCGTTATGTTAAGAATTTTTTCAATATGACGCACAGTTTCCTTTGTTAACTGGAATAGCCAAAGGTGAGAGGTAAATTTAAATAAAATATCAATTAAGCAATACTTTGCAGGGAGTAGCTGTGTCCCACGTTCACGGAATTAATATATTTTGGAAATATAAGGCCAATTATTATATATTCAACGCATAAAAACATAGAGCTAGCGGCTATA